TGTCGTTGCGAAAGCTCTGCAACTGTTACGAACTTCCTGTATTAATCGTTACGATCGCCCTGTAAATTTCGTTACGATATCCCTGTATTTTTGGATATCCCTATTTTTGGTGTTACGAAAGGTCTGTTTTTTGCTGTTTGTTCAACTCGTCACGTGACGAGTTGAGACGTTCTCATCGTCAATATGTTGTCGGTTCCACGAAGTGAAAATATTGTATAGTTATGTGCGTCGGAATGAGTGTGGGTGTAGAGGGAGGGGGAGGGTGTGAGGTGTAGGGCGTGGGTGTTGGTACTGCATTGCCCAACTACTCTCATAACCACCCACACTCACATCCCACACCCTTCCAAAGTCATCGTATTGTAAAACTAGCCAGAATGGAGTCAATTGATGTCCAGTGTGCAATTTCTAGGGATATTCTGAAAAACCCAGTAGCTTGTTCAAAATGTGAGACTGTATTCTGCTGTGCGTGTATAACTGAATGGCTAAGAGGAAATAGAAAACACTGCCCGATGCGTTGTAAATCATTTGAGCAATGACCATGTCTCAAAGTCATAAAGACACTACTAACACAAACCAAAGTCACCTGTGAATTTGAGCCAAATGGCTGTATGAAGGTCAGTAGTCTTCTTGTACTACTTACTCATTCATTTGTGTGTTTTGTTCTAGCTCATTTCATGTGAAGGACTTGATAGACATGAGCAAGGGTGTGATTATCAACCTAAAAATATGTTCTGCTTGTGATACAGATTTTTTGAAGAAGGATTTAGCTGATCATGTGGCTGATTGCCCACTAATCGAATTGACGTGTCCAGATTGTGCTATTAGTTATAAACGATGTGATACTGCTACGGTTCATACAGAGATGATCTGCATTCAAAAACAAATACGGAAGTCAGAAGCGAAAGAATAACGATTACAGAAAGTAATTGAACACAATAAACGAAAACATGAACGAACTATGCAAGAATTACGTGACATTTACAATAATTGCACTCAACTACGAAATAAACGCATCAAGTCCATTGAGTAACTTGAAAGCATAATGAACTAAAATATGATCTAATGTGTTCGATTGTTTGGAAAATGATACTGCGGTTACGTACAGATGAGTGTGAATGTGTGGATATGGGTGTGACTTTTCTTGATCCAGAGTCACACTTACATCCACACACATCCGCTGATTGAATCGAATTACTATTTACTATTCCTTTTACTATTGTACATTCATACTTCTGCAATATAATGAACCTTTCTGTTTCTTTTTTCAAAAAATTCAAATTTATTAACTATGTTAGCGTAGTGACATCAATCAGATTGAACGAATCTTTCGTTATACCACTAAGAAGTAATTCACGAACTATGAAATAATCAAATGTCCTTGTTGTGGAGGGAAGATTCAGTCGCTAGAATTGTTTTGGATCTTTACGTCCTACTGGAATGCTATATATTGGCAATAATCTCATTCAAAAAAGCGATTTTATCCACAGACAGATTTCATTATCAGCTTCACTCACGCCTGAACATCAACCTAGCCACTGCCTATAGCACAGCTCGAAGCAAAAGCAGAGTTCTCTAAGGTGATTGGCATCAAAAACTTAAAACTTCATATGGTTTTCACTTGTTCTCAGATATTTTACATCATCAAGCGATAAGTGTTAGATCAAAACTAGATTCAAGTATTCTCTATTCAATGACGAAAGACTTTCTAACAAACGATGTATTCAAAAAAAAAGTGTTCATAAAAATGGAAAAGTAGTTTGGAGCTGATCCCAGTCACCCATCTTGAAGTAATTCGAATCATTAAGGGTGTGGGTATGGCTGTGTGAGTGTGGGTGTGTGGGTGTGGGTATGGATATGGGTGGCGGTGGAGGTGAGGGTGGAGGTGGATGTGGTATTGGTGTGTGAGGGTATGGTGTGGGTATGGGTATGAATGAAGAAAAAATTAACACCTACATCCACCTTAAAACTTTTCATACGAACAAACAAAAATGCATGTGTCAGACGAAATATGTTTACTGGTATGATGTAGATTTAAATCTTGTGATTTGAACAGGTCTATAGTATGCACTCCGAGGTAAATACTATGCTACATGTTAATAATTGTTGTCTCTGAACATAATGTCAGACACTTACAACAACTGTTTCAATTGCCTCTGGACAAAAAAAAATCAACTTCTATACTAATATTGTGGTATGTCACGATAAAAATTTGTATCGTATAATGATGTTCAAATGATACTTTTATTATATTTTCAAGTATTTTAATTCGGTCAAATCAATTCAGTCTATCTATTACCTTGGATTAGATCCATCTGTAAGAATAAAATTCAAACTTTTTTCTCTAATGCATGAAAAAAAGAGGTCTATCTAAGAAATATTTTCTATAATATTTTTAAAAACAGAAACGATATTTCCAATTAACTTATACTTGTTGATTTATCATCATTGATATTTTAACCTCAACAAAATACTGGTTTAAGGAGGCTAGCTCTTTCGTGATCGAAAATTATTACATTTTTCTTTTTGGTTTTTCTTTACTGTATACGCTTTGAAGTACTTTGTATCTAGGGTATGGGTGGGATAGGTGCAGGTGTACTTCTTCATCTGATTCACACCCTCATACATGGATTGTCAAATATAATAGTTCATTAAAACTCATGCAGAGTATGTTTATTCTTCAAATAACTCATTATTTTGTCATTGTTCTGAGAGGTATTATCGTTCAGATAATACTTCAATATACAACTTGTATCAGTAGACTTTCTTTGAATACTGATGGATATTAGGAAACAGTTGTCACAGAAACATCAATACAAGAAATACTTTTCAAGGTGGAACTCCATTCATATCCGAATTCACTGAGACGATTTCAAACGACTTTCAGCACCGCCATTACTTGAGCTGGGGGAAATCGTAATTAGCGTCAGTATTAGAAGCATGCTCTTTTACCATTATTTTTCAGCATCTCACATGACTTTTTTCTCTGTTTCTTTTTTTTTGACGAAAAGTCTTCAAGTATCGAGTGAGATAAGATTAATGTATCATGGTGTCTTTTTTGTGCTAGAACAAATTTGTTCTCTGTGACAAATGAAGATTACTTCGATATTTATACCACAAAATATATATTAAAAAACAAGGATTGCTACAAATATACAGACCTGATCTAGAAAGACCTCTTTTCTATGAATATGTATTTGGATGGGTTTGAACTGCATAAGTAGATTGATGTTGTTGATTAAGCGCATTCATGTACATCTATGTGCCTATTTTTTCATTTTATCTCGTTTTTCTTTTCATTTTTTATCATTTGTTATCTCTATTTTCTTTTTTATTGATTCTTTTTTCTCTCATATTATTAAAAATGCAATAATACAAGCTACGCTTATATGAATATGAGAGATGACGAAAATCACGTTTAGTTAACTCCGGTTATTGTGACTTTCAGCTTTGTATTATATATTGGAAGAAAAAAAGCTTTAGTACGTCTATGTTGACACTGTCTAAAATATGTAAGAGTGATCGTTTTGTAGATTATAAAAAGAACGTACAGAGACTTTCCCAAAACTTCCGTGAAAAACTAAACAAGTTTCTCTAACACAACTGAAGTGGTTTCTATGAATTTTGATAGAATAAAAATAAACTTTTTCTAACTTTTATCGACTACACTCCCTGTTATATCCTTATGTCTATAAATATGAGGATAAGAATAACTTTATTATCGCTTCATTATTTGGATTACATACAATCATAAGGCAAAACTGTTCATTGCATTGAACCAAGAAAGGATTGGAAGTAAATTGGCTACGAAGTATTTACAAGACTATTATGAAACTAGTACCACTACACATTAATAACGCTCTGAATGATCTTCAGAAATTAAAAAAAGAAAAACAAAAAGACAACGAAAACCATAATGCTTGACTAAATCTATCCCACTAAAATATTCAGCATTTGACAATATATTACTTATGTGTACCGTAAATAGTTAAGAAAGAGCGACAGGAGAAGAAGAGAATAGTAAAAGAAAGAAAAAAAAAGAGGGGATAGGCGAAAGAGAAAAAAAAGCAAACGAAATGTGCTTTATGTATTTCAAGGTTGATCATCCAACCAAACAATGAATATCGAGTAGCTGACTGATAACGCATGTCGCATCATGATGACATCTTCATTCAACAAACTTGTTCGTAACTAATTTCTAAGAAATATAGATTATTTAATGGGTTAATCGATAAAATTCAGCTGAAAGATTTTATGAGTGAGTTACAATTAGAACTATTTCAATCGTCTGTACAACTTACTGATTTGGCTTAGGATTAATCCATGAAAGCCCTAACTCAATCGTTATCCGTGTCAACCCAATATCCAGTCGGTATGTCTTATTCGTATATTCGTACTCATATTGTTCTATGATCTTTTTGTGGTCGTTCTAGATTACATTTCTATATTCTTGTGTAAGCGCTTCGAAGCGTAACAGTAAACAGAAAAAGTAAAAGAAAAAATTATAATAAGAACATTCATTCCGTTATTATTATTTTTTCTTATATATAAGCTTGTCATTTAATATATTCAATGAGGGAATTAAAGTGACTTGCTTTCTTTCTAAAGAAATATACATTATATCGATATGTGAACAATTTCATATTGTAATGCTTTTTTTAACTTAATTATCTTTAATGTCATCGAAATTCTTATCTATATATTGAAGACAAAGAAGAAAAGCCTTCCATTGATTATACTTCTTTTGTTGTTTTTTTTCAAATGTTTATTCCACAATAGTTACAGTACGTTATTTTTTCTCCTTTATAATAATTTACTCTCCTATTTTGATAGGTAAATTTCATTCTATTCACCAAAAATAAAAGATGAAGTTGCATTCTATTCTTTTTTTCTCATTTTTTATCTGTTTTTTTTTCGTTTTGTTCGCTTCTGTTGATTGCATCAGTACATGAAAATTTATGATTAGCACATATATTATTTTGAACGTGTGAAAAATATTTTAGATGACAACCCATAACAAATTTGGTTTTTTTATTGCTCCAGCTCACGACATAGCTGAAAGAACTCAACAATCCATTGATAATGATAATGCAGATCAAGAGGATACAGAATATCTACCATATCCTGATGATAACTTTGAAGAAATTGTTGATGATCGTTTTCAACGAAGTTAGTTTATATATTTATCTTCTCTATCTATTTGAGTTCTTTTTTTTTCTTTACTTAGATGACAAGTTTACTATCGAACATATATATCGTCGTACTGGACAAGCATTTGTTCCTAATGTTCCAGTTGATGTCAAATCAATTGTGGCTGAATTTAGTAATGATTGTTCTGCAGCATTAATTGATCCACATTTGTAGGTTTAACTAAACAACACTTAAAATTGTCGAAATGATGAATTTCATTGTTTACAGATTCCACATAACAACCCAGCATGGATCTAATGAATGGACTACTGATAAAAATCATCGACATTTTCAAAATTTACATCAAATATTGTTGAATTTCGTGAATGAAGAAAGAAAAAAATCACAAAGTGATTCAGACATGTACGTATGATATGGAATAATTAGAAAACACAATGTATTGCGAATCTTTTTCCTAGAGAAAGATTCAAAATGTCTTCGATAATATTTTCTGATGCAGTTCAGTACCTCATTGCAGATCCGATACTGAGGATGGATTCGACTTCCAACTAGCTAGCTATTATAGATAGATATGTTTAATTTAATTTTTTTGGATTCGAAATATAAATTCTTCAACACATATATGCAGATACACTTTAAACACTACCTATATGTATAGATCAATAGTATTAATAATTATCATAATAATCGAGAGATACGTATGGTTTATCTATAGCGGAATATTCATAAAAGTTTCTGAAAAATTTAAAGAACAAAGATGAACGAGACTATTGTGATTTCTTAGTATTATTTGAAAGAATATTATGCAGAACTTAACATGTAATTTGAAGTATACAAGTACAATAATATATCTTTATCCTAATTGTTTTGTCTCTATTTTAATAGAAGAACAACAATTTATGGAATTATTTAAAAATTTTTTAAACCATTCTAGACTATTTAAAAATAATATTAAGCGATCGCTTCATTGCAAATTGATTTTATATCAGCCATGAAAAATTCCCTAGAGAGCGATAGACTGCATCAAGAAAAATGTATCCGACTTTTTTCTAATTGTATTTCGCACTCGAACCTGACTCAACAAAGCTCATTCAAACTGATCCTTGAGTTAGTTTTGAGGGTTGTAGTCTAAAAATAATTGATATTTTTCTAACAAACACTGTCATTCGATAATACCAAACGAATTGGTTAAATTCGTTTCATAAAGAACTCAAGCTTAAAATATTTATTGTTTATTATGAAACTATTGCATCTATCTAACTGAGATAATGAAAATCAGATATTTCTTTTTATCATAATTTCATATTTATTAGAACTCAAGATGAAAACAATGAATATCCATTTTTTCCAAAAAGAAATCATCAAGAAGGACTTGTTAATGATTCTAATATTGAAGAATATTCTGTAAGTTATACAATGAACTTTGCTTTTTTTCTTCCCTTATTCATTTGTTTCTTTTTGCATAGAATATTCTTGTCGATTATCTCAATAAAGTTCTTAAACATCCGAAATTTCGTGCACATCCAGCTATGGTATGAAGTCGAAATTGATATTCTAAATGGAAAATGTTTCAATTATAATTTTGGCTTTGTTGCACAAAAATCCGATTATAATCGAAATATTTTTCATTAACATTGTTACTAATTTTAACATAAAGATTAATCAAATATTTAGTGTTTATGAGAAATTTCTTTCTGATGATTGAGTTCATGTTTGAAAAATTTTGTCTTTGCCAAAAATGATTTTCTCTAATTTCAATATCGCTGAATGGAATCATAACTGAAAACTACTGAATCAAATATAATCTATTATATATATATAAATATTAAAAGTATTAAACAGACTAAAAAAATTGATTGAGTATCATTTGAGTAGAGAACCAATTTAATTGGTAATTATCGCAGTTGGTAATTTCTAGGTCTGTGTAGGGAAAGGATAAGATGTGGATAAAAATATAAGAATATCCGTACATCACCTATCCTCGTGCCATTTGTTCGCAACCATCTGATCTGGTTACTAAATACGAATGGTTAATAACTCATATGCTAATGATAAGCTTAATAAGTGAACTAATTAATTAGAATAAAAATTTACATATAAAATAAGCTTTCTTTGATTCAATAATTTTTCGGTTATTTCTTATAACATCATATTATATTAGTTTATTTGTTTTTAGCGTGAATTTTTCGAAGTAAGTTGTCTATCGTTCATTCATGGTTTATCAGTCAGTCGAAAAGAAGGTCATCTGTTAAAACAATCTGATGATCGTTGTTCTGGTCAGCATACTCTCTTTTCATCATTTTTTTGTGATTCATGTGAATGTCACCATGGTCTCAAGTATGAGTCTTTTTGTTTTCTTATGAATTATATTGTCAATAAAAAGGTTTTAATTTTCGACGTCTAGATGGTTTGTTATTAAAGATAGTTATATAGTTAATATACGACCAGATACACATGAAGTACGGTTTCCTATGTTAGTTGATCGTGGTTTTCAAGTTTTAACTGGTATTGATAATGCTGGTAGTGATGATGGTATTAAAGTAAGCAATTTACAACAAACATTTGTTGGTAGATGTCCAACAGCACGTGATCGTGATAAATGGATAGAAAATTTATCAAATTTAACAGAACAAGCAAAAGATTTTGTTAGTGCAACAGGATGTCGATTTAATTCATACGTACCTATTCGAGAAAATCAATTAGCTTATTGGTAAAATAATAAAATGATCTTGTATTAAAATAGAGTATTTATTATAGGTTTATTAATGGTAAATCATATATGCAAGCCGTTGCTAAAGCACTTTTGACAGCTAAAGAAGAAGTGTTTATTACTGATTGGTGGCTTTCACCTGAAGTTATGTTGATAAGACCAACAGATGATGAAACATTTCGACTCGATAATATATTAGGAAGAATAGCGGTAAGATTTTGATTTGTTTTATTATTTGTATTTGTTAAAATTCATAATTATAAATTTTAGGATGCAGGAGTTCGTGTTTATGTGATGATTTATAAAGAAATTCCATATGCTGTATCTTTAAATAGTTTATATACAGAAAAAAAATTACTTTCGAAAAGTACAAAAGGATTTATTAAAGTCAGTTTAATATTTTAATTAAAATTAACATAAATAGTTCATTTGCTTTAATATCTAAGGTTATTCGACATCCAGATCTTAATATTAAGGATAGAGTAATTTTGTGGTCTCATCATGAAAAAATGGTTATTATTGATCAAAAGATTGCCTTCGTTGGTGGAATTGATTTATGTTATGGTCGGTGGGATGATGAATATATGCGGTGAGTTACTGTTTTATATTAGATTTCATATTGTTTCTATGTACATCATGCATCTATTTTTAATAAGAAGAAAAACCATATGTATGAGAGTTTTCCATGTGTCTAGGATAAAGGCTTACAGGGTAGTCTAAGTGTATCCTACTTTAGGAATAACGATTTATCCCAAAGTGTCTGTTGTGACATTGATTACATCGGCAGCGGTGTTCACTATAAGACTAACTAAACTGACATCAGCATTCTCTAAAAAAGCCAAACATCAACTCTATCAACACTATGTCCTTTCTGCATCGTTATATTCCGATGCTTCACTGATATTGGCACTAGTGTGTGCTAGTTACATTCAGTCAATGATGTTGGTAGCCACTAGATTGTAGTTGTACAGCCCTGTATGTGCCATTGAGAATGTTTTTATTTAATGAAAAGTTATACTTTTTTTCCTAGGAAGAGTTATACAAATTCCTCTGATAAAATAATTTTAATTCATCTAACATGAAACCCATACTGTTTATTCTGATTAGTAATTAAGTGATCATTGAATAATTATTACACAACAAACTCATGAGCTTTCATCTACAAATTATCAACGATAATTTTATATATAGTTTTAAAAAAAAATAAATCATTGAAAACTATTTGAATATTCTCTTCATAATTGATAATTTTTTTCGAGAGATATTCTTATGAATTATTCTACTACAAGGTTGGCATTGCATAAATCTCTAAATGAACTATCGATTTCACATAATATATCATGTACAACAATGTAGCAATAATTAAGACCATACATGTTTGAGAAAATTACTGATGGAAGTTTTGCCTTGGAAATTGCTTCATTGTTGTGTAATCTCAGACGAATTCACATGAATAAGGAACTTCATATTTGTTGGACGAAGCATTGAGATACAAACTTTTGTTCTTTTATTTCCAGTCTTGTTGATTTGGGCGATGAAAATGACACAACATTAAAATCTTCATCTGAAATAGCTGCAGAAAATGTAGCGTCGGGTAACATAGAAACAGTAGAAGCAGCACAAATAACTACTACACAAATGGCCGAAGAAGCTGGTGAAATACCGATTAAGGTAACAAAACTAAAATGAGAAATAAGATAATAAAACCGGGAGCAGAAAGAAAAAGAATTAATCATCATTTAGGGTCAAGTCAAAAAGTATTGGGACATCCTTGTATTCTATGCATCTGTTGATTTATGAGGTATCAAGAAGAGCTGAAATTTCTGTTTTCATCAATAGATAGTTCATGCTTCATATTATTTTATGTATTAAAATTAAGAATTTCGTCTATCATCTTTAATTATCGAAAGTTTTTTTTTTCTTGTATACATCAGCATTCATTTTTTTTCCAATAAAAACCCATGTCAAAAGAAAAAAAAGAAAAGATCTTTTAATATGATAGTACAGATGAGAAATCATCGAGATTTTTTCTTGATATTCACTTTCATATATAATAGTAGAGAGTTTTTACTGCAAAAACTGAAAGTTTGACGAGGAGTACTATCCTCGAAAGTAAATTTATGAAAAAAGGATAATGTCAGATATATATATATATAATGTATAGAAAACCATAGAAGAAAAAGTTCTGTACAAATTGGTATATTGACGAATAATGTAACTTTTGGGGATCAAGTGTTATTGGGATATCTTTGGTCGTGTTGGTCTGCAGGATAGAAAAAGAAGAAATTTTAATTTTCCTTTCTTTTTTTATGCAACAAGGTTCTTTTTTTATTTTCTTTGAAAAAATTAGAATATGAAGATATGAAAAATTATCACCAACACTCTATACCCACATACTCATCAACGTACTAATTTTTCAAAGCTAATAAGAAAAGATCTTTGTTGCATAAAAAAAAGAGAGGAAAATGAAAATTTCATCTTTTTCTATCCTTTACGCCTATACGATCAAAGAGATCCCAATAACACTTAACGCCAAAAAAGAATCTCAATGATTTCTCATCTGTACTATCATATTAAGAGATCTTTTCTTTTTTGTTTTTTTTTTGAAATAGTTTTTATTGTAAAAAAAAAAAGTTTTTTCTCTAGCAAAAAGCATGCGAAGCGATAAACTTCGGTGTACTCGTTCTGGTGATATACATATGATATAATCTTGATGTTGAAAAAGTGAATGCTTTTGTATAAAAAAGAGAAGAATCTTTTTCTTGAATGCATCGAAAAATCGGCTACTTTTATGAAAAAATATTCGATAATTCAACATCATAGAAGAAATTCTTGATTTTGATGTGTAAAATGATATGAAGTATGAACTATCTATTGATAAAAAAAGAGAAACTTTGTCTCTTCTTTTTACTTCATAAATCAATAAATATATAAAGTACCAGTGTGTTCCAATACTTCTTGCTTTGACTTTACATATAATATTTAAGAGTCTATTCTAGAGTTCTAAATTTCTGAGATCAGCATTCGCTCCTCTAAATGAAATAAATGAAGAAGTTGTGCTTCCTGATTCAACTGACGAAAATGAAGAAGCATTCGATATCAAATCAACAGTTAAAGATTGTAAATAATTCTATTGTATTTTTTTCGAAACTTGTTCATTATTCTGACTTTTATCTCTTTATCAAGTGATGCGACCAATCTTGACAGGTACGAATAAATGTCATTTCTTATTTATTAGAAAAGAAAATCAGAAAATAATAATATTTACATGTCAGAGGAAGACCATTATAAATTAAATTGTTGTTTCGTATGTATATGAATGAGTGTATGATATTATACATAAATTCGTTTGCTATAAAATTTAATCAAACTCTATTTCTAATTGTAAAACAATATAGTAAACTACTTTATTTTTACGTTATCTGAATTTAATAAGTATTATCCATTCTGATATTTTTGATTATTATTGTACAAATATTTCTTCATTTAAATAGATGCAAATAAAAATAAAGACTATCATAACTTGGACAACGATGATGATGAATATTCTACATTTTTGATGGATTTATTACTTAACAACTACAAAAAAAGTATAGAAGGTATTGCATTGATATTATTTTGCACAACTAACATGCTAATATTCACTCTATATTTTTGCTAGAATAATTATATTGTTAGTTTTCTTATTACTACACTTACTCGTGTTATTTCTTTTCGTGTTAAATGTTGCTCGTGCAATGCTACTAGTAAATATCGTTTCACAGACTGTACATTTAATAGGAAATCTTTTCTTTTTCTATCTTTATTGAAAGGAATAATTAAATTGAATGATTCCTATTGAAGATACACGAGTAACAAATGACAGAAGTGTATTTGAACATGATAGAAAAGAAAGTTGACGATCATGATGATTTATTCCGGAACGGCAACATTTAGTTCAAGTAAATAATTAAATAAATAAATTGTGTATAAAGTCTTTTGACAACATTTCTGATCAATAGTTGTGTACTTCTATGCTCATTAGAGATGATTTTAAATGATCAAATAGAACGAGAGTTTCATGCTCTTTTTAACTATGTTTTTCTCACTTCAATTCATCACTTCCCTCCATCAAAAATTGACCTTGGGTAAGATTGATTCAAGTCATATGAAATTTTCAGAATGTGTTAGAAGCAAAGTGGAGAGACTATGTTGAAAAAACTCATGTCTCTACCAAGATGTATGTAGCAAATATTTCAGAATTAAGGATGAAAAACAAGTCATTTGACACTTCGAAACTCTCTATACATTTTCTCGTTTGAGAAATCTTATAATTTTTTATATGGAGAAAAAGTAAGATGTCAGGAATATTGTGAAAAACTCTTAGGAAAATATTTATCTATTTAAAGAATTGCTTTTTTTTTTAAATAAAATAATAATAAAAAAAAAGCTTAATATAGAGAACAAACTCGGCGGGTCAACGCAGTTTAACATCCTATTATAAAGAAAACAAAAGTACAGAATTACAATGAAGCTTTTTTTAGAATTCTGAAATATAAGATCACATAATAGCATAAATCTAAAAGAAGTGTATTTTTTAAGCAGACGATAATGAAAGTCATTACAGGCGTTTCAAAAAAGAAGAAAATAAGATACCAAACTAAAAATCATATCGATTGTTAAATATCAGATCTCAAACTCATTTCTATTATATTTATTCTAATTTTGATTTTTTCTGATGACAATTGAGTTTTTGTAGGAAACGGGGTGTCTTAAATTACTTTATTAATACCAAACCTTTCATGGAGACGAACAATAGTCTCTATGTATAAAAAAAGTTTCCATGTAGTTTCAGTTTTGTCTTCTTATGTCAATGTGAAGCTAACACACGTCGACTACTCATATATCACATAGGAACTCATCAATAGGAAAAAAAATATAAAATATCGACATATTTTCCCTAGTTACCAACAACTTATAGATTTCAAGAGAATAAAACTCCAAGAGAAAAAAAATAAATAGTTTTTCACGAACTCGGACAGCACATACCATTTAGAATGCAAAAGATGCCACCAACAAATGAAAAAATCAAAAAGAGAAGAGTCGACATTTAAAACATATGATGCAACGCCATCGGACTAGATATATTCGATAGAGAACTTGATTCTGAATCAAATGAACTAGCACTGAGTGGGTGTGAGTGTTTATCTTCTCATCATCCGTATCCACATTCATACCCTAACATTGTTTCTCTCGTCGTGATAATTGATCGCGTTGTGCTAGCTTCTCATCGATTTTTCTTCTGTATTAATGTATATAAAGCGAACTTCTTATTCAAAATACCTTATCGAATTTTCTTTCTTTTTTATACATATGCAGAAATGGTCGAAATCTGTTATATTCGAAATTCGAAATAAAGGCTTTTTTTTAAATATCGTCTAGCATGAAGGAAGTTCTTTGAAATGCTACAGATTCAAAACTATCGAACTATCTCATTGAGAAAAGTTATAAATAGCTGAAGAAAAGGCCTATTTTGGTCAATGTAAATAATATATTCTCACTGTCAACTAGCTGTAAGCTCGTGAAGAAGAAATCTAAGAAGAATTTTAGAAAGAAAATTAAATTTTGCATTGAACTATTATAATGAAACTTCTTCCATGACATTTAGGTATTGTTAAAATGAGTAAATATATTTGTCAATGAAATTTTTTGTATAGGTTAAACAGAATAAATAAGTTCTGATTAAAATGTGAAACATTATGTAGCTGGTGTTACTAATTACAGGAATCTTTTTTTTCTTGGATAGACCTTTGGATCTACTTATTCGTTATTTTTTAATTAATTCTTGAGAACTGCAATAAACAAGCAGTTTAAATATTCTCAATTAGATTTTAGTGACATATAATCGCTTATCATATTTGAAAATACCTATGATGGATCATTAAAAATTTACTAACAAGATATTAATAAGAGATTAGTTAACTATCTAATCGTTTAAGTAATTAGTTAATTTGACTATTACAGTCTCTCTGAAAAGGGGTTGAGGAGTAAATCCAAATTTCTATTCTATATATTTCAACACTATTTTTAGATCATCTTTCACAAAACAATGACGATGCTGATAATAACGAGATTCTTGAAGAACAACAATCACTTACTCCATCAACACTTGAAATTGACAGGAAAAATCGATATTTTATTGGAAAAGATTATTCAAATGCATATAAAAAAGATGTGACAAATCTCGAAGACTATAGTACAGGTGATTCGCTCTTCTTTTTTTTTTGTTTCATTTTGCTCATTCATGTCAAATGTTCTTATGTAAATTCTAATGTAGATTATATTGATCGAAAATCAATACCTCGTATGCCGTGGCATGATGAAGCAATGGTTGTATTTGGTCAAACAGCTCGAGATACTGCAAGACATTTTATTCAACGATGGAATATTCATAAAGTTAGTTGAAAAAAATGGTCAACTCCATTTTTGCTAAATAAGCTCATAATCAAAGACCACCGTATCAAATATAATCTACTTTATATGTAAATTATTATTATAATTAATTAGTTTATTACTAAAACGATTGATTGCCATCAGAGTTGTTAACTAATTCGGTTAAATCTTCTGCTTGGTCAAAAACAGGTCTACCATTAGATGCAGGTTTCATATTGATTGGATAGATCATCGCAGAGCAAAGCACCGTGGATACATATCGTCGCATAGATAAACGATTGAAATATATTTTTCGGATGAGAGTAAAGACTTCAACGTCGGTGTATATTTTAAGAGAAGAGGCATACTGAGGACAGTTATAGTTTGTTTAAATCATACTCAAATCCCACTGTCCTTGACCCAAAGCCATATGGAGACACTCTCACTAACATATAAAACGGCAGCTAAACTCTAAACATAAATATATGTGCACTCCAAATTCTCATCTGTTTAAATAATTTGATATAGATCACATTATTAAAGACATGAGAGTAGATTTTCTAATATGATACATTGATTAGCACTTCTTTTTTTAACAAAGAATATGTTGCAAAGTTTTTCCTACGACTATTTGTTCTAACGTCGATTTTCTTTGTCTAAATTTTTACTCAAAAGGCTACTGGAAGTAGCAGAGTGACAGGTGCTCAGAGTCGAGGCTTAATTCCTTCCCTAATTTTGAAAACTTTTTTCTCCGTCGAAATTCTCGCGATTTCTCCGCTGTTTTGCTTACCAATCTTTGAAAAAACTGCTTGACTCAACACGCAAGCCTGATGACTTCGGAGCATCCTAGTTTGTAATCTCTACATTTACTTGAGTTTGTAGACAATAGTTTAGATGAAAGGATGATTCAAAACTAGCATAAACAATCATCCACACGCTTGTTATCTATTAATAAATTTTTGACCTGATTATCAATCCACATATTAATCAATGACTTTTGACAATGAACTAATTAATTGTTTGGTTATGAATTTATTCACTGAAAATAGAAGTTACCAGAAAAACGAGCAAAAACTTTTTAAATTTAAATTTTGAATTTTTTTTTTTTTTGTTAAGCATCAAAAATATCCAGAAAATGATTTCTATCCATTTCTACTACCTAAGTCATATGATGATACCGAAGACTTGACTGTTGAAAACTGGCAAGATTTTCTTGAAAGTGAACCATTTCGGGTAAATGCTCAGGTAAGTTATTGTTTTAGATTAATATTCATTTTAAAAATTATTTTTCACATGAATTTTGCATTTAGTGTGTTCGATCAGTTGGACCATGGTCAGCAAAAACAAAATCAATGGAATTATCGATTCAAAATGCTTATATACAAATGATTGATGCTGCTAAACATTTTATATATATTGAAGTAAATTAATTTCACACAAATACTATTTTTGATTATTATTTTCTATTTAGAATCAGTTCTTCATTACTATTGCTCAAGATGAAGTAGTTCGAAACAAATTAAGTGAAGTGCTTTTTCAACGTATAAAACGTGCATATAAGTATGAAATATTTTTTTTTATTATATAACATTTTAAAATGTTTTGTTTTATTGATTAGAAACGATGAAAAATTTCGTGTTTATATTCTTCTTCCTCTTTTGCCTGGTTTTGATAACATGAAGGCTGTACAAGCTGTACTTTATTTTATTATGCGTTCGATTATTAAGGGTGATAATTCATTATTTAAACGACTTGAAAAAGCAGGTAAATCAGTATTATTATCATAGTTTTCTTGTTATTTGATAGCAGATACGAAAGTGCATAGGATAGATTAAAATTTTTTAAAATTTTATATTATAATTTACAATAGTCAATAGGAATACAATGAGCACGTACGTTTATCAATGTTCAAAAAAGATGCTTAATGAATTGTAATAATCGTTAAAGATTTCAAGGATCAACTCATTAATCAATTAAATAACCAATCAGTTAAAGAATTAGTTAGTTAACTATTCTATAATTGATATCTCGTTGGTATCTCATTAATGAAGACTTACAAAATCGTGCGAGACAGTCTTTACAGATTATCAAAGACCCTATATCATTAAGATCCTGTGAGAATTTATGAACTACTCCTTAATGCCAGCTGCACAAGATTCTATAAGCTATGATACAGAAATATGTCCTAAAATGAATCGAATGAAGTAACTTTTATGTGAATATCAACACTAGCTGCATCTTATTTTCCGTTTTAATCTCGCAGATATTGTTCTAACAGCTTTTTCTATGATTTTAATTATTTTCAAAGGAAAATACTTGTAGGATAAGATCAAGTCTAAGTCTAACGATTAGGATTGTTAATGATTTTCAAAGTATAAACAATTTTCACAAATATATATTTATTTTTGCATAAAAGAAGCATCATTCACGCAGCTGATAATTTCTCTTGTAACTCGATCAGAAAATAGAGCTTATATTACCATATATTTAGTGTTATATAGAAAAGAAATTCTAGAGATAAAAGTGTAATTTATTGATATAACGACGACGAGTAAAGATGTTATGGGTACGATTTTGTATTCCATAATACCTACTCAGTTGGATGATGATAGTGAACACTTTTTTTTAGTTGACGTAATGCAATGCGATGCTTTGTAAAATGTTGAAAAGAAGAAAAAAAACGCTTATTTGAAATGCAATTTTTATTTTCTTGAATCGATTTTGAATATATTGAAAATCAATCTATAACTGAAAAAACATATATATATCATTCAACTGTGTTTTTGATATTTAGGTATTACACCAAGTGATTATATTAGTTGTTTTGGTATGCGCAATCATGATATCCTAATGGGTCGTCTAGTAAGTAAAATATTTTATTATTGATATGATTCAAATATTCTTTGTCTTGTTTTAGGTAACTGAAATAATATATGTTCATTCAAAATTAATGATCATTGATGATCGTATGGCTATATGCGGTAGTGCAAATATCAATGATCGTTCATTAGTTGGTAATCGTGATAGTGAATTTTGTATTGTAATAGATGATGTTGAAGAAGAAGATAGTCAATTTAATGGACAACCAGTTCGTGTAGGAAAATTTTGTTCTAGTTGGCGTAAAAAGATCTTTGAGTATGTTTCGAATCTAAAATTCCAACTGTTTTCATAGGAAACTATTTTACTTTCTAGGATGCTATTAGGTATTCAATTCGAGAACCCAAATAATATTGATGTAACTGATCCAGTATCAGACGAGTTTTATTGTTATTTTCAAAATGTAGCAAAACAAAATACACTTATTTACGAAGAAGTTTTTGCTACAATGCCAACTGATCATGCTAGAACATTTGCTCAAGTGACTGCATATAATGATATGGCTAAGCTGAAAGATACTGATCCCATAGAAGTATGTATGCAAACATACAAGGTGGACCAAAAGTCACCCAGTAGTCTTTGATTACGAATAACTTTGGATAGGAACAAGATAGAGAGCTACGTTTTTTCACCGTTGTAAAAAAAAAAGAAATGAAAACGCATTGAATCTTATATTATAGATTTTTCCTAAAATGTTTTCTGTATTTTTCTGAATCAACTTCCTGAAAAAATTTGTCGAAAAAACGTTTCTCATAAAATAAGAAAAACCCCATAAAAGCGACTTTTTCTTACTGGTGTTAATAGAGAAATCGGCATTTCCCCGGAGCGGTTCGAATTCATACCAAATAATAAAAATTCCAGTATAGTCTTCCTACAGAGTACATTGGTTTTCAAAAACATCGATTTACGTTCTTGAAAAAACTACTAAGTCAAATCAGTGTATATTATATTGCCCTATGCGTCTTCATCTTCTCTTTCGAATGGTGAAGACCACAGCTCTCTATATTTTTCCTATCAAAAGTTATTCGCAATCAAAGATTGCTCGGTGACTTTTGGCCCACTCTGTGTATATATATTTGATAGATTTTTTGAATAATGCTTTTATTTTGTTTTGAAGGCACAAGAAAAATTGAAAGGCATTCAAGGTTTTGTAGTCGAATATCCACTTTATTTTCTTGATGAAGAAAACTATTTACCTGATTGGACATCACGTGAAGGTAAGATTGTTCGCTTCATTATCCATAATGACTTCGGACAATCATCATCAGATGACTGTCATGATAATGTTCTGATCATGCCGATCAACCGATGAATTATATGTTATTTTATTTCTTTTTTTCTTTTAGGCATAGCTCCGTTGATAATATGGACATAGAGTATTTCTTTTTTGTGAGTACAACTTTGCAAATTAACAACAAACAACACGTATTGGGATGTTATTTTTATTTAAACAAAAATAATTTATTTTATTTATATAGTTAGTTGAATATATGCTTACTTTGTGCAACGGTACTTTTGCACTCTGTGTTCCGTTTTCTATGATATTTTTTTTTATATCCTAAGCGTTTTCATCAATGCTTTCATCGACTTTTTTTTTCATTCGATATTTTCTCTGTAATAAATATATTCACTTTAATAAAGTTTTTCTTTTCGTACGAAATAATAACAATTAAAAGCGTAAGTCGCACAGTGGGGAGCTTTCGCATAAGCAGGCGGACATGCAGTTTTTTTGCTTAGGAATGGCTTTAATTTGACTAGAAGTGACATTATACCACTAAGAAAATCGTTTTTAAGAAAATAAAAGGTTTTTTTAAAAAATTTTTTAGAAAAAATATGGCTGGGGGACCTCAGCCTTTTTTCTTCGAAAAAGTTTTTTTGAAAAATAAGTTGAGCTACATATCATTCGATGTAGTTTGATGTATTGATTCCGAATATCACCTTGGTTTTTCTCCAAAATGTAATACGGGTGCCTAAAACTGGATTTCCGACCAGAAACTTTGGGTTTTTGGACATTCTGTAAAATAGCCTCAGAAAGATTTCATGAGTTTTCGCTACTACCATAAGTAGGACACGTTCGTCGGAGCATTTAGTAAAAATTTGAGCTCGACCAGACTTTATTCCTTTGTAGCGTTTACAATATACGAAGCGCTATGTATTCAGATAGGTTTTGGGGCTCGAAATCCTTTGTTTTTTACTATACTTTTAACTGAATTACGATAATTTTTTTTTATCATAAAGTCCATAGGTGAGCAAGTTTTTTGCGATATTGTTTGCTTCTGGAATATTGTGTTATATTGCCGAGTGGCTTGACTTTCTTCATTTATGCCGATTTCGGGGTCCAAGCCTTGTCAGATTCTTTTCTAGAGCTCTATAAAACTTTGAGAACCACTGTTTTACGAAATGATAGATCACATATGTATGTATTTACGCAAACGGTTAGATGGTGGAAAAGAATATTTTCCCGCATGTCCGCCTGGCTTCCCACTGTGTCTGGTGAAGACATTCATGGAAATGCATCCTGATGGAATTTCTGAACATAGCAAACACAGTTTGATATAAAAGTTTTTCTTCTACAAGCTTTTTGTATCTTCAAAGATGAGAAAGTTACAAGCTCTACAAGATGAAATTCCGAGTCCTTGTGTCTAGTTACCCTGCCTTACTCTATATCATTATTGAGAATTTTAACCAGACAAAATAGTTACACCCTTCATATCATATTTTTATTTCAACACATCAAAATATATTCTACTATCTCATTAATAAAAAGAATACAGAAAAGTGCTATTTTTTGTTGTCTTATTTGAATAATCGACAGTTTTTGCGGTCACATAAATATAAAAATTCTGAATTTTCTAAAATAGTTAAATCTATTATTTGAATGTCAACAGAAATTTCATCTTAATAATACTTCTAAAACTTAAATTATGTTTTTTGATATATAATGATCAGAGCCAGAAAAAATTGCTCCTTGTCCACTCTTTATTGTTGAGTGTAAAAGGTGTTTTACAATAGCTCAAAATAAATTCTTAATGATGTTTTTCATATTTTTTTCTTGACACAGACAGCTAAAATTTTCATCACACATATATCTGATGAAGATGAATGTCCAACGAACTCCTGTTCTGACCCTATACATATTGTTATGATCGTCAAGCGGTTTTGTCTTTGTTAAACAATTATAGATTAATATTTCATATCTAGAAGATGTTCAACATCACGACTGAGAAAAATTGAGTGAAGGTTAGAATTAATTTTTTTGTAAAATCTTAAGCGGATATAACAATAGAGTAGATGATTTTAAGTCATGTTGATTATCGAGGATAAAATGAAAAAGAAACTGAGAATCTATTTTATCCCAGCACGTTTATTTGATAATAACAGGGTTATAATGCTTAATTGGCATTTATTATCATTCTAAATGAGGAGACTCTATCTTACAAAGTAATTGTTTTTATAGAAAATAAATATGAACCATTTGCCGCGTATTAGTGGGTTGAGAGAGTTTTTGTTTTGATGCACCATGTTTGAAACAAACAGACCATACGTGATATAAGAGATGGTTAGGGACAAAAACCTCGATAACATCGCTGTTACACCAAATAAATCATAATTACATGATAGGACATCGTAATAAATAACAAAAGCTATGTTCCAAGAACATGCAGCCATTGCTGGCATAGGTTTTGATTTGACTGTAAAATAATTGAATACTTCGACTGCTCCGATTGTCCGACGATGTGCTTGTCTTGCCTATTGTATGATTTCTTTTTCGATTGTTTCTCCTGATATAGATCCACTCAATACTGGTACAGTTATCATGAATATTCGTAATCGCTGTGGTACCACGCCCATCCATCGAATGAGACAAATAATATCGTCCATTTGTTAGCCGAAATGAACGGAATCTCCTTTTTTGCCAAACTTAATGAGAATGAAAAAAATATTCATTGTGGAAATGTTAAATGGAATCAGTGCACTTAACATGAGAAAACTTCGTAATAAACCCGTTATAAGAATAGCAAATGAAAGACTATCTAATTCCCAGTTCTAAAACAAAGTTGACTCGTAGATTATCGTCAGTGCTAATCGATTTTCATTAAGTTACTTGCTAGCTAATGTAGCGATATATGGAGGTGGAAATCTGAAGTCTGCATCACAGGTTTGCTAGCAAAATATGGTCCATTTCTTTAACCGCCGTACGAAGGCCATAATTTGAATTTGAACATTTGTCTAGTATTTCATTGGATGAATCATAAGGATGAATTATGAATATAATTCTTTCGAAGCCACAATTTTGATATTTTTCTTTCAAAAATTGATGTTTCTTTTCTTTATCCGGTGTTCACTATTCAAATGAGATGACCATTGTTATTCAATGACCTTCTGTTTGATCTATCAACGTTTGAACACTTTTTACAATCAAGCTTACAGGTTCTTTATAACAACTAATGGTAACAATATGACGAATGAGTGTTTGTTCATGACTAAAATATTCTTTAGTAATATTACGAACATAATTCATGAACAAAATGAAGGATTTTTTCGGAGTCAATATGGCAATAACTGCATAGAAAAGAATAATTCAAAAGGTTGGATTGGATATGGTGGGAATGTTCATCTCCTCTTCAAATACACCCGCACTCATAATCCAACATTTTCCTTCGCCAATATTTAATATAGAAAAGAATATTATATTACATCTCTCTGTATCGTATATAATAAAAACGGAAGAAAAACGAACCAATTCACTTAAAACTACTCATTATACACCCACATCTGAATATAAAACATCTCGATGCAAATGCAAATTTACTCTGTATTTACTATGCACCACCTGTAACACTTATTTTCATCATTTGGTAAGCTTGGATGCTTCCATAATGTAATACTTTATAAAGGCTTGATTAAATCCTTAAAAACGGATTATCATACCATTTCTTTCTCGTCAAAAATTGCTACTGCATACATTTTTCAATAGACATGGTAAATAGTATCAAGGTAATATATTCTGAGACTCTTATGCTCAAAATATCATAATTTAGCAGAAATCGTTTTGATATTCATGAAGCATCGATCGAATATCTTTTAACCTAAAAACACATCGTTATCAGAGGAGACTACAACTGATTGACATTAGAGAAATTATTCTAACAACATTCCATGAATATTAGAGTGATCGCAACTAGAAATTTACGACTTCTGCTAAATCATTATATATCAAGCACAAGAATTTCGGAAAATATCACATGGATGCTGAATGCTATTTCGACATAAAATTAGTCGTGTATGAGTGTAAAGTGTGACTGTCGGTATGAAGTGTGGGTATTGTTAAAGACATCTGTGTTCGTTTTTGTGCACCGTCTACTATATATGTGCTTCGCGTGTTCACTTAGTAGCGCCTGCTATCTTATATGATATCTTATATTAAAAACTTACTTAAGTGACTTGATTTTCTTTTTAGACCACTTTATTATGAACTTCAATTCAATGAATATTCTTCTGATATGGACACTACTGCTGCCACTAACAGTAACTCTACAGATTTTGATTTATTGATTAGAATTTCTTTTATGTGAGACAGTCAGAATGGTGAGACACTGAAGAATCTAGTGATTTTTGATACCTTACTTGATAGCACCATAGTTTCATTTTTACGTAGTATTTTGCGAGAATTTCTTGTAAAATTCTGACCCCATCTGTTCCAATATTTAGAAAGATATGAATCATGCTAAGTTCTATCCAAAATCTTGGTCAAGTTATGGATATCAGACCCAATGTAGGCGTTTTAAGCTAAATAATTTTGAACCACGAAAATGATAATTTGATGTGGGTGTCGATGTTTTGTGGATGAAGAAATTACCTACACTCACACCCGCCCTTTTCAGCGGATTCAATTATCGGTAATCATGCTGAAATTTTATTCGTGTTTTTTTAAGAGATCCACATAATTTATTTGGCTTCACTGGTTCTCTAGAGTTTCTTGCTCTGTTTTGGCAGTTTCTTGTTGACCCTAAGCCTTTCTGATGTCCTTTGTTGAAATGTATCTGGAAATGCTTGAAACTCCACAAGAAACTGCCAAAAGTAACAATTCAAAATGTCCCAAGCACGTCAGTGTTACCATGAATGTGATATTCTCCATAAGGTCATTTGTTTTATTTACGATTTTACAAATAATGCACTTTGAAACATGATAGAACAATAGCCAATATGGTTGTAAATGATATATTCATTGATTTCTTGTTGTGATAGGCGTCAAAATTTTAAACGCCGAGTGAGAAAATATAAATAATTTGGTTAAATTTTTCTCTTCCAAATGAAAGTTGTGCAAAACTATTCGACAAAAGATATTCTCTTGACTTATAATCTAGTTTCATACAAAATAAATTTTTTTTTTGTTTGTTTGAAGGGAAAAACACTGTTATAACTGGTAATGGTAAACGGCCAGTAGAATGTCAAACACTATCTATGAAGATACATGCATCAGACTAGCGTATTCCGCGAAAATTCATTAAGTCTCTTTAGTATAAAGTTATGACTTCAAAGCAAATAGAACGTGGAAAGTAGATAAGTATACAATTAATTAATCTGTGTACAAAGCTAATACAGAATTAATAGTTCAATTTTCTGTTAACCGATAGATGCCAAGAGACTGAAAACTAATGAAAATTAATAGAGAAAAGCACTAACGTAGTTAAACTGAACTCTTACGTTCTTACTGTAGTGATTAGGAGGAAGATATGATTAATCAAGAGTTTTATTTGAATATTGCAGGGCCAGAAAAGAGTAAAATGACTCATGCCGTCCTACCGGTTGATTTGATCTGGGCTGACAAAGCAGACCAGTACTGTTACTAGAAAGGAAAAAACCTATCGATTTCAACTCTGCGTGAAAATATACCATAAATATGACTAGGGCTTATTTCTTATAGGTGCCAGAAACAGTGGGTACTTCTCTTAGTCAATTAAATTTTGATTATGGAAGTTATAGTCCTACTTTCGAGAAGAAACTGATCGAAGAAAATCGTCAAGATGGATACTGGATTGAACCTTTTCAAGTAGACAATCAAAGTCCTATTGGATTGGTAGCATATGGACTTGCTAGTGGAGACATACATCTTTACCAAAATCTATCCACAACTAAAGAACCAGGACAGACTATTCTTATTCAAAAACTAAATGGTCCTGTAGCCATGGATCAAGCTGATATAACAGGCAATGGTATTAATGACATTATTATCTGCTATCAATACGGTAATACAATGCTAGACACTGATCCTGAAGGAGGAAAGATTGTTTGGTTAGAAAATCCTGGACAGAATATCGTTAATAACCTATGGGAAATGCACTATGTTGGAAAATCTACAGCTATGCATAGACTTAAAGTTGGTCATTTTACACAAACCAAACGTTGGGAAATAATAGGTTTACCTATTGTCAGTAAACCATATGATTTACTCTCAGCAGTACCTGTACTGTTATTTCGACAACCTGATAACGTATTGAATGCTACAGAATGGCCTTTCGAAATAATTAATGAGAATTTTTTTCATCTAATTCATGATGCAAAACGGCTCAATGATGGTCAACTAGATAATCTTCTTATTGCATCAAGCGAAGGTATTAATCGGCTTTATTTTAGTAAAAATTTAAAACAGTGGATGATTGAGAAAATTGGAGAAGGTGAACAAGAACAAAAACAACAAACAACTTACTATGGTAGTGGTGGTATTGATGTAGGACGAGTCGGAAACGATCCTTTGGCTTATATGGCTGCAATCGAACCGTTTCATGGAAACGTCATTGCGATCTACATCAAGAACACGAACAATGTTTTGACACAGTTTCAATGGAAAAGATATGTATTGGATATTTATGGATATCCGAACGAAAATGGCGAAGGTACAGCTCATCATATTGTGTGTGCTGACTTTGACAATGATGGAGATGACGAATTCTTAGTTGCACTTCGTGGACCATCTCCGAATCAAGGTGTCTATTTTTATAAGTCGATCGATCTCTCTCGTGGTTTATTTAATAAATGGAAAGTTAGCGGTGACTCGGCTGCTAGAATTGCTGTTGCTGACTATGACAACGACAAACTTCTTGACTTTGCAACCATTAGTTACAATGTTCCCGGTTATTACAGATCAGAGAATCCTTCTATTAACGTTTTTTACAATCGATTCACTCAGAACAAGCCGCAAGCTGAAAAGGAAATGCAGGTGATGAAGCAAAATAATGATCTTCTATTCAAAGTTCCAAGACCAAACGAAGCATCACAATATCAAGAGCTACCATTTATTACAATAGATGGGATACGTTTGTCATTAGCAATTGTACCACCTCATAGTTCGCGTCAAGTGGACAACAATACATATATCAAGGTTCTTTCTGGAATTATAATTTGGACTGATTCCTCGAACCAATCATATGAGCCCGCCAACTATTCTCGTACAATTTTCTGTGAACCAAGAACTGTTGCACCTCTTAAGATACACAGTGATAATAGAAGAATAAGAACTGAAAGTGAAGGTGCTCTTTTGATTATATTTAAAACACGTAATGACACTAATCCTATTCATCAAGTCGGAGATATGAAAAATATGATCATTGAGAACTCATTACCGGAATACTGTCCTGAAGAAACTCGTCAACTTGACTTTGAATTTATCAGATATGATCAATATGACTCAAGAGCACAATTCAAAAATCTCGAGTTTTACACTCTGAAAGGTTTTGGAATAAACTTTGCTGATAACAATGAACATCTGTGCTACATGCAATTATGGGCTGCTGGACAAGGTGTTAATGCTGGTGTACATAATCATGCGAAGGATAGATTCTGCGAAATTCATATATCCATTATTAATGGAAGTGAAGAAGGCGGTATACACTATCTCAGAAGTTCCGAAGAAAATTACGATCCACTTACTACACCAGACTCAGCATTCGAAAAGTTACCAATGCCACCTTTTTATGAACAGGGTCCTCTATGGGATATCGATGCACAAAACAAACCAGTTTTACGAAATGATGGTACTGTAGTTTATCCTTGGCACAAATGGCAATCTGGCATAAATAGATTATTCAATCAATCATTCGATGTTTGGCTAGTTGTTGCATTCAACAGTGAACTGTCAACATTACCGGCTTCTAATGAATCAAATAAAACATTCGTACCAAATGTGTTAAACATGTTTTTAACATTGCTTTTCGTTTACATTCACTACTGAATTCTTATTTTGAACTGATTGGTTCAGTTTTTGTGTTCATGAAACTCTTTAAATAAATATCTTTTTCGAATGATGCATAGATATTGTATTCTTTTTGAATCATTTGAGTATCACATTTAAAAACTAAAAGAAAAAAACGTTTCAGCACAGCAACATTTTATATCCACTAGCACTCTTATTAAAATTTTGATGCTTTACAGATTCTGTTATATCACACAAATGAAAACTTATTTAATTAATCGTCAGTATTGCCAGCAGTTGTGACACAATATTGAGAAACTTGTTCGGTTATCTATGCAATCATACAACATATTTTTTTGACACGGATAGACATATTTGTGTTGCAAATAGTAACATGTTGACGCGTTTTCGCGTTGAAGTGTTCTGAAAACGCTGCTATAGACATTCAGCACTTGTCTTTTTGAATGCATTCATAAAGTGTGTTGATGGTCACTGAATATGGACCAAAACAAATGCGTATACATGTGTTAGTATGCATTCGTATCGCTCCATACTTTGAATTTTGTGTCATGACTAAGAAAAAATGCATTTTAGACATAGTTAAATGCACTGTTCATTGTGTTCCGTGAACATGTTTAGAGAACATTAATAGTTTGTGAACATTCGTTGGACTAAACGCATATAAACGCGCTTAAGTTTTTAATTTAAAATATATTAGAACGCATCAATATCGGTTCACGCATTAAATCATGTTTACTGATTAAAAGAAGTTATCCATCTGTTATTAAACGGTATCTAAACGGTAAAGTTAAGGAAATGCGTTTCAGGAGGTGCTTATGTCAATTAATGAAATTCGCAGGAGCGCATTCGGGCGCATCACTTTGCGAAATGTAGTCGAATGTATAATTACATAATTAGTCTAATAAGTGAAGATAAATAGTTAATGAAGAGAGTTGCATGGAGACGAAAATTTGGTTATGAGTCGAAAGTGAAAGGTCTCCACTGGAATACTACTGTCATTGGAGAAAATTCTTGGTTTTATGCTGTTAGACTTGAAAACTAGCAGTTACAAGCAAGAATGTGAGTTTTCGATTTGTTATGATCATTTCGTTTTCTTTATTTCCATATGTAGCAGTCTAGAATTCCACAAATTGATCTAGGTTTAGAATAAGCATTAGAAGAGTAGATACTATTAAAAAAAACTATTTTTTAATCAAATTCAAAATAATTCCATGATATTCTTTTCAGTGTTTGTTGACTGTACTCAGACTTTTAAAAAAATTTCTGAACGTCCATGAACTACGTAACTTAACGAGTCTTAACCCGTCCAAAATGCAAGCTTTTTGAGGATCTAAAATTTGGATATGTGTGGGTGACTGTGGACAAGAGTATTCTGTTGATCCAACCATTCACACTCACACCCCGTTAGGATGGGTGTAGAATGTGCAACATTCGAGAAATCCACACCTATACTCACACCCACACCCACACCAATTAGTATTATACAACTATTTAAAAAATAATGAATATCGGTACAGAAGTGAGGGTGTGGGTGCAGGATGAATGAAAAGGGAGACTGGCATCAACACTCGTTCTCACACCGTAATTGTACAATGAATTGTATACCAAAGAGCACACTTATGACCAGGATGATATAATCTATTGAATAATTTCATTGTAATGCTATGTACAAGTTATGCGATTGGAAATTTTATAATTATCTTATTGCCTTTTTTCCTTCATCATTATTAGTAAAAAAAAACATTTTTTTTCTCTTTGTTCTGCATACGTCTAATACCTGAATATTTCTGTTTGTTCTCAATGCATCGTGTGATATTTGTCATTTCTATGCATACAATGAGTAATTTTATATTAGGAATACAATAAAAAAAATCATGCTCATATTTTATGATGCAGAAGCACCAAATCAGAAAGTTGGTAAATAATTGTTAAAAAAACAAGAAACAAGAGTGTATATGAAAAGCTACTTTAGACTATTTATATGTTCTTTTAAAACAACATTAATTTATTTGAAACTGTTTGTCTATCTTAAAATATGATATTTCATTTTTTATAAAGGTCATTATTAATCAATAATATCATATTATTGCCTTCAGCAATTTCAAAAAGAAGTAATACATTTTGTTCTTTTTTTTTTATTTATATGAGTCATTAAAATGTGAATGACCACGCATTTCTTATTTTTCTTGTGCTTCTTTAATTTTGTATAAAAATTGATAGCTATTCAAGAAATAAGCAAAACAACTTAAACATGGATACACATCATAATGAAAAAAAATCAAAATTTCTTACAAAACCTTCATATTGATCATCATGATCATTTTCTATCAATTGAAGATTACGACAAAATGCCACTTATCTCTCTTGAAATAGCTGTTGAACTGTTAGCATCTCTTCTATCTCCAGTACAAACTTATGTACATTCGGCTAAACAAAAATGTGAAAATCCTGCTGATTATCTCACAAAAGATGAGTCGGCATCGATGATGCTTTGTACTGTGAAATAGCAACCAATTGATCAATGTCTTTTTGTTGTATTGAATACAACATTACATTAAACAGACCAAGAAAAACTGAATTCATAGTTTCTCTACTTAAACTTGTACTAAGGACACTTTGTCGTTTATCATCAAGTCATCGTATAATTTTTCGAGAAATTAAATTAGATGTTAGTCACATATATTCAAAACATAAAGCAATTTTATGGTCAGATTTTGCTCTATATACAACTTCAGTTGATATATTACATTCGAGAAAACATTGGGTAAAACAGGTAAATGAACGATACTTCCTATTGAATGTAATTCAAGTAAAGATATTAGTAGACATTTACGTTCATCCATCAACAAATATGATTCTTTTCCTACCAGCTACTCAATTTAAAGTAATTCAATGTTTCAAACAAGACAATAATCTGTATTGGATTCAATTAAAAGAAGTTCAATCACCATTAAATCAAATACAATCACTATCTCATCTATCTGAAGTTTCTCCGATAAAATAAGTACAAATAAAATAAATAATTTTGTCAAAGAAGGAAAAAAAATTAATTAAGGATGTGATCTATGGTGATTCTATCCATTTAAAATTTCACCATTTGAGACAAAACAATCTTGACTTTATAAATCTTCGTTTAAAAATGAGCATGAATCTAATGAAAAATAAGAACAATTACTTGCTAATTAATCATCGAACTTACAGATACAATTAAGAATTAAAAAATTATCAATTAAGGATATGAATACTTCACAAAATGAAATAACAAGTAAAGATGCAGAATATTTAACTGAAATGTTAAATACAAATAATACATAGACAACACTTAGTTTATATGAAAATAAAATAGATAATCATGGAATAAAATATGTAACTCATGTTCTTAATTATTATAATACACCTTTTGAATATTTGTATTTTTCAGGAAATAAATTCATGACAGATTTAAGTATTAGTTATTTTATCGATATTCTTCAACAAAATTAATCATTAAAAAAGATTCATTTACCTAATTGCAATTCATGTCAAACAGGAAAAACAAGACTACAAGAAAGAATTCAAACAAAACGATAGCTTATGTTAAATATTTCAGGAAAAAGATAGTGATGGTTTTTAAATGAATAGATGAAAAAACATTGATGAAAATGACTTGGTCTTTGTATTTATCAACGATGCTTTTGCACAGCAATAAAATCAATATTGTTTTCAAAAGATTAGTTTTATACCGATTATTCTTATATAAAAATAAAGAATTCGAAATTCTCGGATAGCATTATAGATAGAGAAAATCAATGGTCATGTACGGACATATAGGCTGAAAACTTGTTATGATTTCACGCGGTTACTGTTTAATTGGTCATCAGATTAATAAGCTTTCGAACCCTTATTAATTGAACTTCAGCACGCTCATGTCTCCTACTTGAAAAAAACTAAAATATGTGTAGTTTCTAGAGTTGAGCTTATGTGCCTTCGTGAATGAGTTCTTCATAGTAAATATGAAGTTGTTGGCTTGCAAAGTGTGAGAATCAGAATATCGATGAGGCTCGTCTAGCTGTTCTCAATCTGATCACTGTTGTACCACGAGTGAAATTAAACGAATATTTGTCTTCTCTTATTTCATTCGAGTTGTCATTGTAGTGTTATTATACTGTTTGGCAGTGAAAATCATATCAGTGGTACTTCCAATGGTACTAAAACTCACTTGTCTGAAGTTTGAACAGACACAATGTTCAATATCTAATCAGCATAAACTGTTGATTAATTAACTATACATAAAAATAGACAGCTTTTTTCTTACTTAAATAGGGTAGTGTAGAAATCGTGAATTCGTTCTTTTTTATGGCACTCACACTTACTGTAATGCATTCTGTGTACACTTTTGCCTGTGATCATGTTTCATGGTGCCTGCAATACTACAAGTACTATCTGAGATGCTACAGATAGCAGTTGAAATGCAACAAATAGTTTGAAATTCGAGGGAGAAGTTTAAAACTTCTAACAACTCTTTGAGTTTTACATTTAAGGTTCAAATAAATACTTACGAGTAGATCTGCCATTAGGATGATTCTAAACAAGAACAAATATAATCTAACATTTTTAATTCTTACTTACCATCGGATCACATGTTGGAATAAATCTAAACACAGAAATATAATTTAGTTTTGTTTAATAAAACTTACCATTGAACTTGATGTTGAGATAAATCTGAATAGAAAAAAAAGGATCGTTGATGTTCGACTCAAAAGCAACTCTTGGTCAAGATGGACATCTCCATTTGTGGCTAAGTTACGATTGTATACGACAATTGTATTCGCTCGCCATAAACAACTACGGCGATTTATCGATTTTTTGTTATATGCGATTGTGTAGGATCGCGCTTTTTGAACCTAGGTTTCTCCAAGTCTATTGAACTTTGATGAAGTTCAATGCTTCTTCCTTGCCAATGTCAGTGTTATTACTTCAGTTGTATACCAAAGTTAAAATAGCAGTTTGAACACAGAAATCTTTTTTCTATACACAATACTTGGATTAGATATCGACGAGAGACGCAAATTCAAAGGTAGTACTCTGATTAGGTTTAATTCAATCGTGAGTCAGATGAAGTCGAATCATTCTCGATAGTTATTAGATAAGTTTGATTCGGTAATGATGCTTCATGAGGTCTGGCGCAAATTAGAAGAAAAAAGAATTAGTATCGGGCTTCTATAGAAATCACAAATTTTCAAAGATATTCATTTCAGAATACAATCAGTTCTACGCTTCGTCCAGAATGTAACTGCTATAGAGTCAAGTCCATACTAAGAACCCATGTTCTCAGTTACGATCATCTCAATTTCAAAGTACACTATAAAATCTCTGCTTGAGTGCAAGCAGCTACATTCAACTGAAGCATTACTAGTCAAATTGATGTCGTAGTTAGGTTTGCAGCGATTCATAGTGAAAGAGAAACATTAAAAGTTGCTTGTGGAAATTCCTTTTATTTTCATCGTATTGAAAAAGAAAAAATACAGATTTGTTAATTGTCCTAGCTTCCTACTTTTGACAATTGAAAGTTATCTAGCGAAGGAAAATTTTTTCAAAGCATATATATAAAAACAGAGATGATTAGAAAGAACACAGTCAATATCGATTGAACTTTGTTACTTGAATTGATTTGATCTTCATAGTCTATCAGAATAGGATACTTGGCTGGTGGTGGCGGAATTGAATCACCGGCTACATTGAATATTGCCACCATACCTGCTTCCGCGTGCCAAGCCAAATGACAATGAAAAAGCCAGGAGCCTGGATTGTTGGCAATGAATCCAATGACTATGTAAGACAGTTCAGGCACTTGTTCTGTATCACGATAGGGTGGATTGATAAAATTGAGCATGTGTCGATCGTGTACAGGATCGAATATGTTGGGTTCACCAGTACTGGATGCATTTTGTTTGCCCACACCAAGTACATAAAAAGAATGACCATGAAGATGAAATGGGTGACCAAAATTTTGAAAATTAGTCACAACAATCATGACATGAGCATTCTGTTTCAAATTGAATATACTGGGTAAAGTCGGTTGTTGAATACCGTGTTTATACAAAGTATATAATGTTGGTTCATGAGGCGTTTTATAACTAAGCGAATTGACTGTACAACGATGTACGCTCGGTACACATATGATATGAACAACCAATGTTTCATTAAAAATTGGTGGTTGGAGCGAGAAGTGAGTGTTGGCATTAGATGGCACGAGTGGCATAGAGTTGAGCAAGACAGTTTGATTTCGTGGTAGAGGCGATGGTGCTGGTTCAGCAGTTCTGTTTCTTGTATTATTGTAATGCAGAATAGCATGAAACTGGTTGGTATCGTTCACAGTAGTAGCTGCACGAATCCAATAAACACCCGAAGGTGATCTTTGATTCATAGTGACAAGAAAATCATATCGTTGACCGATATAAATCCAAAGTTGTTGTGTTTTGTATGGTTCGACGTATGCACCATCGATAGCGATCACCGTTAATTCATGATTATCTATAGAAAATTTGTAATTGAATGCACTACTGGCAGCAATCAGACGAAATCGATAGGTTTCATTGTAGACCACAGTAAAACGTTCATATGGTCGATTCGGTACACAGAGAAGTAGATCACCAAGTTGATTGTGTTCTTCTTCTGTCTTGTGGTGAAGAAGCAGTGATTGATCGATCGTTGAACAATCATGGCGACCTTTTCCATTCATAAGACCAGATACGAATTGTGGAAATCTGTGATGGTGTGTTGTCGGAGGACTGCTAAGGATATCGAATATATCGATGGCGTAGCGATGATACCATTCATTCATGATAAGAGAAAATTCAGGAAACTTTTTATATGGATCACTTGGATCTTCGACGATAAGAATACCAAAGAGACCGTCACTATATTGAGCTCCTGTATGTGAATGATACCAATGTGTGCCAATGGGACTGGCTTCGAATGTATAATTGAATGAATGTAAAGGTAGAATCGGATATTGTGTTGTATAAGAGACTCCATCCATCCATGATGTGTTGAACTGATGAATACCATGCCAATGAATGGATGTTACTTCGGTTGGTAGTTCGTTGTGAACAATGACTTCAATTATGTCATTCTTTTCAGCCCGAATAGTCGGTCCAGGGAATATGAATTTACCTGAACCATCATCGATTGAAATGACTCTACGATAAACACCATCGGGGTTGTATGTTGCATAGCGAAGCGTCCATTCATATCGTTTATGAGCGGCATGTGACAAACCCGAAACAGTGAGCAGCAAGATCCATGTGAAAAGTATCGCATACATTTTATTGTCTTTCTTTAAGAAATATGATCACACTTGTACAAAACTATATAAAATTTTCTAGAGCAAATGATAAAATCCTGATTGTATTTTCGTTTCGCTCTCATCATTTATATACAACGTCGATGACGTCTTATTAGATGTAGGCGCTGAATACGTAGTTTTAAAAGTCATGTTTTGAATAATTGAATCGATAGCATACGTCTATTACTTCCTCGTTTTCTTATATTACCAACGAGAAAAAACAGAACTTTATACTCCAAACTCAAATCACACTGAAATGATTTCATACATGGAAATCGAGTAATAAATTGACAACCAAGAAGAAAAGCAGTTGCATCACTAGGCGGAATATGATAGTCACCTGCTGTCATAATTACTCATTGAGTGCTTGTTACAGAACGACAATAATCATGAAAGGAGAAGTTTGATGAATAATTCTCTTTGTAAAATGTTGCATTCATAGGTACCACAGGATCAACAATGGTGTTTATCATATAAAAGATTTTTTAACCTTTCTGTTCGATTACAAGTGACAACAGGTGAAAACTTCAGAGAAAATATAAGATAAGCATTGCAAGTGTATACGAACAACGTAGAAGACGTCCTCCATTCGGCAATGTCAGTATTTATATGATATCAAAAGTATTCTCTCCAAACATATATTTCTCAATGAGTTGTTTTTTATGATGGACTTAGCTATTGGCAAAAGAAATATAAATCAACGCTGTCGTTGCTTTGTTTTTCTAACTAAAGAACATAGACAATAGAGACCACTGGGTGATTACAGCAAGTTTCAATAATTTTGAACTCTATCTTTAGGTGGTTTCAATGCTACATTTATAAGACAAAAACTCACGAAGGTTCCTCACCAATACAACATAAGCCAAGAACACACACCCACCCAAAGCATAATTGTCACCGGTCACGAACTAATGAACCAATCCGATTCAGTCGGTCTAGAAATATTTCCAGATCGGTTAAAACTGGCGGGATCATATAGTTTTTCAGGTGATAGAACTGATATTGTGAGCGAAGTTTCGTCTCGCATACCTGAATATTTTCACGCTTGTCTTTTCTGAAATACTTGAACGGCAAGTAGCCTTATTTTCAATGCGCTTATGGGTCGACCATCATCAATTGGTCAATGGTAATGGCTGCTAAAAAAAAATATTCATTTTCCTTTTTTTGGCTCTGATTTTTATAAATCTCCCGTGTAAAAATTTAAGCAAAACAGGTCTCTTAGACCAGCCTATATTTCTCGTTGAGAAGTGTTGAAAAGCACACATTTTAAGCAGTTGAATAGCCATTTCGATTGATTATTTTAGCACCTTTAGATGCTTAGATTGTAAGTATTAAATCGTGAGAATAACAAAACGATCAGAAAATTCCAACTCTTTTTCTATATTTATCCGACGTAACTTTTTACTAAAATTCACCTGTGCGAACAGTTTTCGAAAAAAATCGATTTTCGAATCTCAACGTGCAGCTTTATATGCACGTAAGTCTCATGTGAACTATGTCATGTATTAAATTTTATTTTTTTTGAATATCACATTATCAACATAGAAATTTTTCGAAATATTAGTGTTTTACATGATGGTTAAAGGAAGCGTAAATATTTGAAGAAATTCATATATTGACAAGGCAGGATACAAAATGGATGAAACTTAATACATGACGTACTCTATATGAGACCTTTACATATGCGAGGCTGCACGTAGAAATTAAAAAATAGATTTCTTTTCGAAGATCGTTCGTTCAGACGGAATACAGTAAAACTTTTCAAAAAAAACTTGTAGTTAATCATAGTTTTCATAAATCACAAAAGTCAGACCATTTATTTAGTTTTTAAAAACCAATCAAAACCATAGTTTGATTCAAAATTTTATCCTTGAGTTCCGAACGTTATTCTATTCTTGTGAGTATTCATGTATGGGCACAGTGTCACGACAATACGAGTGAATCGCCATGAATATAATCCCGTAAGTGATACAAGATATATTTACAATTTATCTTCTGTAAAGGGTCAGTAATTTCTATCCATTGAGCATTAGATGTTGAATTCGAAGACAATTATTTACATAAAACTACTTCACTTTATTGGTGTCAACTAACTACTCTGAAGACATATTCACAAACTTTGAGGAACGGTAAAATGTGAGAATTAACTCGCATTTGTTTGTACAGTATATATCGAATACCCAAACTTACAAATCAAAAGTATTCTAATATGATTATCGAATCATCTTAAGTCAGTTAATCGATCTTAATTCGATTCAGACTTGGTCTGTGCTTATTAACTATTGAGGAATTATTAGAACCCGATATGTTGCTCATGGTATGACATATCCTGGTGTCTTCTCAATATATACATTGTAAATTATTACATATCATTTTTACGAAACATTCATGATCAAATTTCTATGCTGGAATAAGGAGTACAAGAAAACTATTGAGAACATGCAAAATCATAAGAGTGACGTTCAACAGTCACTATGATTAATATTTTCTTTTCTTAAGTATGATTTTTCGACAATGGTTCTATAAGTCATGCAAATGAAAAATATCATGCTGCGGCTAAATTAACACAGTCGAAATTTATAATTCAAGAAAATATGACAAAATTATCGTTTTATAGAAAGGTTTATAACTTCCAAACTTTCTTCCTAATGAATGTCTAGCAGTATTTCTACCCGGCATAGTTTTTAAAATCAATCGTTGTACCTTAAAAATAGTAGTCTTTTTAAATGAGTACAAGTGAAATAGTTCTCTTCTTTTGGCATGACAAGAGAGTTAAACACGATTGTCTTGAAAGGGAAAAATTATGACTTAGAAGAAGATAACTTACAAGTATATCAAATAACGCAAAGCTACAATGAATGTAATCAAATCACGCAGCTAATTGTTCGATAGGTAAGCTAATAATGTTTAAAACGTGGGATACGAAATGATGAAAGTGATACAAGAATGAGAAATAAAATAAAGAGAACATACTTTCAAAAACCATGAACACTATAAAAACTAAATGGTAGAACTAGTTCAGAAAAATAAATAAAAATTACAAGTAAATCAAGGAAATGATACAAAGCAGTGATAAGACAAGTAATGAAAAAGACATCACATATTGAACGAATCTAGTTATAAATTAGAATTACAAGAAATATTCTTCAAAATGTTTCTTTGTATATATGTTTGAGGAAATAATAGTAAAATGACAGTTTTGTATATGGTCATTTTCATTCATTTCTTCTTCAAGTGATTGATATACGATCATCTCGTCAAATGAGTGCCGAATTTTTCTTTTATTCTGTTCTGTCGTCATCCAATAATTAGATATGTGAGTAAATAACAAAACAAAAACAAACCAATAACGATACTAAAGCACGTGAATCATTCTGTAGTTCTATAGACAGGGAGGAACCGAACGAATTTTCAACCATAAATAAACATTCGAGTTAAAATAATCTAAAAAAAAATAATATATTTCACGCTCTAGCATTGCTCCGAATCTTACTTCGATGATAAATGTTCTTATCTGAAACATAAGCTATCACAGATGATGACGTTCTATTACGCTTAAATATGAGAAAACCACAATAGTTCTTGGTGTTTTTTACTGTAAGTCCAACTGGTACGTGCTTAAATATAAGAAAAAAAGCATTACCATTTTTCAGTCATTTTCAGTTGAAGTGCTGTAAAATTCTTAGTAATAACAAAAGTTACAGATCGCTTTGCAACGCTTATACAACCATTTTATAAGTTCCTTCAAGCAGCAGGTTGAAGTAGACCGACTGTCAACAGTTTGCAACGGATATTTCATATGTACTCTGCGAAGAAATCTGATATTCTAGTCGTTAATTTATGTTTGATTTTTGAGAAACGAGTACGTGAGATATCTATGTATAGTGCGAAAAAAGAGTTGTATACCTAGCAACTGATTTGCACACTCCAAATTTTGAAATTGCACACCCCTCCTTTAACTCAAGTAGCACAGTTTTGATTGTACTTTTTAAAAAATACAGTATACTTTAATTAAAGCAATGAAACACCATAGATGAACAGAAGTAAATCAACCCTAATTTTAAGAACAATACAGTTTGATTATTTTGATAATAGCACCTACAGTTGTTCTCAACAAGTTTTATCAGAAAAAAAGTAATACACATAAAATATTTTTCAACCAGTAAAAATCGGCTGGTCTGACCATTTCAATCGTTTTGCTTATAACTTGAACGCACACTCAGAAGTCATATTTGTACAGATATACATGACAAGCCTAAATCCCATACCCACACCCAGTGTCACTTTATCTGATATAAGGTTGAAATAAGCAACATGCGACAATCAGATCATTGTTTACTGGAAGAATTTCTTCGATGAAAATAGAAAGAACTATTCAAGCAGCTGCTTCGCTCAATTCAACTGGATCTTTATAATAGAAAAAAAAATTCAACAAGCGAAAAACTATAGAAGAAAGAAATCATGGACATCGAACTCGATCATACATAGAATAATTTTTCATCTCTGATTCATGGAATGATTCAAATGTAAGATATTATATTTATTTTAAAAAAGACGCCGTTTGATTAATCTGTGTGTATACTTGTTGTTTGATAAAACGGAAATTTTTTTATTTTCTTATTGTGTCGATGTTTATTATAATATAAAAAATGTTGTGATAAACCAGATCAGTGGCCTGCGAATTTTTCATTCAAAAACAAGTTTAAATCTTAAACTAAATGCACGATCGATATTGAAGAAAAAGACATTATGCCAACCTTTTAAAATCTGTACACGAATGATAATAAACAAATTCGTAGTATATATTGATTAAATATAAATTTATCATTAGTCAGCATATTTTCATTGATCATTTTGCATTGATGTACTAGGTGGGTAAAAATATTATTCCAGGGGGATAACGCTATGATTTCAAATAGCAATCATAACAAATTTTATACTAAATTAAAGCGCGTCAAAAACGGGATTTAGCAGTACTAAATAGTAATGGATATGGAAACTTTTCTATGTTGAACTGAACCAATTTTTGAAATATAATGGCGATACTCTGTAAATAATGAATCATTTGGCCAGAATGGAATTGTTTTTCCTACATATACCCGTCGATTTATCAGTGTTATATGGATTCAACGTGCTTCAAAGCTGAAACTACGATTATTTTTTTGCTTTCTATTGTCTGTTATCTCTCTGAAATGTGAATAACGATGTATTGGAATTATACTAGAAAAGATAAAACAATGCACATTTATATTCTTCTAAGTGACTTGCTTCGTTTGCACTCATTTTTCGTTTCCGTTCTTTCGCATAGTATTAATGTTATAGAAGAAAAATAATTTTCTTGCTTTTTCCAAGAATAATGACTCATGATAGCAGTTAGTCAACATTATTTTTTCTCACTCCTATTTTATCTTAGAAGTTTCTCGAAAAAGAATTTTAAATGTTCGTAAGACCTTATATAAAGTTATTAGTGATAGACAAACTCTATAAAGAGAAAAAACATACCAAATTGATTGATCAGTTAAATTTATTAATTGAAAATGGCTGGTACTTACGACAACGAAGAGCAAAGAATGGTCGATAGAATTAAATGCATCGCTTTTCGTGAAGCTCGCGATGAGGGTGCAACATTTATTAATCGACAATGGATTGCACAGAAAATTCATCGAACTACTCGATTTGTTACTGAGTGGTGGGAGAAATCATATGATGAATGTTTTGCTGATTATTCGAAATCTGATCGTAAACTGAAGTTGTCAGAAGCGAATAGAAATATCATTCTGAACACAAGTGACAAACAAGGAAAAAGCTCTTATATTGTGGCGAAAGAAATTGCAGAAAAGCAAAACGAATATGTTGTTCGAAAAACCATCGATAATTATCGTTCCAGAGAAGGACTAAAGCCTTTTCATGTTATTCCAAAACCGTTAAAAACAGAAACTCATATTTCTAATCGATTGTGGTTCTGCGATTGGTTAAAAGACTGGACTAAAGAAGACTTTCTACACCTTGCGCCATCAGATAAATTTTATGTCTGGATCGTTCGCAGACCAAATTATCAAAATGATCGAGTCTGGGCAAAAAGTATTGAAGATATAGAAGACAATGAAAGATATTGTGAAATGGTTAAAAATCAAGTGTGTATTGAGATTTTTGTGATTTTTACTGCCAAAAAGTTACATTGGGTTATCAAAGACAAAGGTGAATCTTGAACGGGCCAATATTTTCGTGATACAATTCTAATGCAACATGTGATACCATTTCTAAAAAATGAAGAAAATGTTATCGATCCGGATGAAGTAATATTTGTCCATGACAAAGCACCATGCATGCGAGCAAATATGACTCAACATTTGCTTCAAGACAATAACATCAAATTCTAGGGAAATGCCACTTGGCCCGGAAACTCGCCTGATCTAAATGTGGCTGAACATATTGGAACAGTAATTAAAAATGAAGTTGAAAAAAATGCTATCAGAAACGGAACGTGATCGTTATCGAGGAGAAACTTTGAAGAAACACATTTCAGATGTTTTGAAAAATATGGAAACGGATATTGAATTATTTGAAACTCTCTTATGTTCGTATCCGTCACGTCTTCGTGCTGTAAAGAATGCTAACGGTCGTCATACTGACTATTGATTATATTCACTGAACTTTAATAAAAATAAAAATTTCTTTGTCATATATCAACATTTGAAAACAGATCTAGTTTAAATTGTCTCATAACTCTGATTTTCTGCGACAACACAGCATAGTATTTTTGAAAATTGCTTCAAGTTAATATAGAAAAGTTGCCATACACCTTACTATTTAGTACTGCTAAATCCCGTTTTTGACGCGCTTTAATTTGGTATAAAATTTGTTATGATTGCTATTTGAAATCATAGCGTTACCCCCTGGAATAATATTTTTACTCACCTAGTAAATCGCTCGATTTTCTCTTACGAGTTTGTCTTAATATGAATCAATGGTTGAATGCGAGTGTTGCGGTTGAACGCACTATTACAATAATAAATGCTACTCATTTTCGAGAGAAAACAAGTAGAGAAATAGCTAAAATAGTTATTATTATTCTTTTGATTTTCATTATTGGTATGGTGTATTGCTACATATCCATCTAGTTTACAAATATTCAATTCTATTATACATATATTTCATGGTTTAGCGCCATTTATTATTAATCTAATATCAGCTGTTATTATCATAACGAAAAAATCTCGTCTACAATCCAATGTTCAACATAATCAAAATCATGAACAACTTTTAAAAGAACAATTTCAACAACATAAACACTTATTTACAACGCCTATCACATTTGTTATTCTTGGGTTACCACGTGTAATCATTGTATTTGTATCAAAATATATCAAATCAACAAATGATGCATGATTATTTCTTGTTGGATATTTTATTTCATTTTTGCCACCTATGCTCACATTTATGGTATTTATATTTCCATCAAAATTTTACAAAGAACAACTTCGTAAAACCATTAAAGCTTATCGACATAAAATACAACGACGTTTGAATTATATTATATAAAAAAGTAATTAACATGACTTTCATTTTTTTTACTGTATGAAATGATGTAGTTGAATATTGGGAACCATATGGCAGAAGTTTTACACCGGATCAATCTCTGAAATCGGTAAAGTATTTTGAGCTGAACTCTTGTGTCGGAAAATAGCATGTCCTTATCTTATTGTAACGACTGACTTCTATCAAACTGTTTGAGTCGTTCATAAATATACTATTATAGGAGTCCTTTTATGCGCCGTTTCAACAACTATTAGACAGTATATCGAATGTTTTGATTAACATAGAGGATAAAAAGTGTAAGTTTGTGAAGCTACTAATTGAATCGTTACAGTAAATCCTATGATTGTATTTCAACTAACAACTGAAATAATATATAAAAAACTATCATAATGCAATTACATCCGATTTTGAAGGATTTCTTTTTCAGATAATCTATTCATCTATCCTGTGAAGACACAATGAATATGAAAACAAGTTTAAACAGTTTATTTGTGTTTGTATTGTATGCATCATATATTAAATTTGTTTTGTTGCTTTATTTTTTTCATCATATGTATATTCTTAAGTGTGAACTAATCTGATGTTGTATTTTTATTTCAATCATATGATTTCAATGAAAAAAATTACTTCAACAAAATTATGTTTATAGTCGGTTTCCTTTCATCTTGTATCAACAAAATATAATCAATAACATCATTTGATCAAAGATAAACTGTTCTGTTCAGTTTATTTTAGTACAATAATTTTCCTGTAAAGAACAAGTCTTGAATGACATTACACGAAGAATTGATTATAAATTTCTAAAAAGGCCAAAAACTGTTCACACAAAATGTGATACTATCTTATTTTATTAAAATCACTGTATTATGTGTGAGTGAAACGATGATTTTCAACATGGATAATGAAGAAAGATTGACGAAAAAGTGGCCTCATTATGCCATTGATCTATTGAAAAAATGGTACTGTCCATACTATATCATTTCTGATTTGAACATACTCGAACCGTAATCAGTTGAATCATTACCAAAAGCTATAGATATTTTATTACAAGTAGATGTGAATGAGATCCATGAAGTACAAATGTTTTCTACTAGTGCAAAATTTACATGATTATCGGAAATTTAAAAAAAGATTGGATTAGTTTAGATTCAAAATTAACAGTTGATGATGATGACGACACGAATGTGGGCAAAATAATGACGATTCTGAACACATGGCGTGGCTTGGATGGTTGATCGATAATTATTCTTATGAATCCGAAATGTGGCTAGGTGAAGCCAGAATAGAAAAAAAACCTATCAAGAGTTATCATTGAACTATTTCAAGATGTTTCTGATCCATGTTTAACTTTGAAACTATTGTATTAGCAGCAACGATTGAACAATATGACAGTTTCAACCTTATTTTGATGTTCTTTCAATCGAAGTTTTTGTATCGAATTCCCGAGTTATTGACTCTCAGTCTTGAAATATGCCAAAAATATAGCCGAACCGACATTGACACGCTGAATATCACAAAAAAAATCTAGAACGATATAGAATCAAGTTGAAAATGAGAGAATCACACATGATTCGGGTTTTCTATACTGGTGTAAAAGTAATGAATTCATATTGATGAAATTAACATTTCTGTTCGGTTGTGAAGATTTATATTTTCGATGAGCATCATTCTAAACAAAACTTGTTAGCATAGCTCATTCAGGGTCCAAGCTTGGAAATCACAAACGTTGACTGGTGTAAATTTATGCTATATTGTTTGAGATATTGAAATAATATTTCAAAATGTCAAATAAAAAATGCACGTTGTGAACTTTTATTATATTGAAAATGTTCTCATTTCTACTATTTATTTCACTAATTCATCAGGTTTGTTTAACATTGTGGGTCATGCAATACTAATACAACATAGGTAATGATAATAATTTTAAAAAAATCATACTTCTTTTCCAACGATAATCGATTGTTAACTAGAGTTACCTTTTTCATTGGTGCATTTCAAACAAGTATTTTGTAGTATTTTGTAATTTTATCTGGATGGATAAAAGATTATAGCTCATCTCTCATTAGAAACTTTAGTATTTTCATCAACACTAAAATTTCATGAAATTCTTTGAATCTCTTCTCTTATCTTAGTCGAAAACTTGTATTCTATATTCTAAATAGACACTGATTTATTCAATTCGATCAATTACTTTCATTCACATCAATAAGTGAAAAGATTTCATTTTTTTTTTCATAGTCTACATCGAATACAAATGATGAACTATCATTTCATAGCGACCGATTCGTTTAATTCAGAAATATGTAGCGGCTCGATCGAGAGTTGTCGATGAAGTTATGCCACTACTTATTGTGAAATTACATAGCAAATTCCAGCATCAATATGAACAGTAGGTATTTCACAATCAAAATGAGCTTTATATTTCTTAATAATAGATTTTAATTTTGAAGAAAAATAGGACAGTATATCCAACTGTATTCTATAGAATTAAATTATGAAATCAATGATTGTTTCATCAATAGATCATATCGAAAGATGCAAATAACCTGACGGATACCCAGAGTGCTTATATAGCAATTTCGGCTATACTTTGCTAAACTATGTCGTACTATTTCTAAATTGTAGTATAAGAAAAACAGATTATCCTCATCGACTATTCCACAGCTAGCATTGACCTCACTCCAGATGACGATGTTTTCCATTGATCGAACGAACACTAACTTACATTACTATACAAGACGAAATAGAATACCTATTCTTCAGCTTCCTCGTTTCCTTACTTCTTAAGAACGTGAATACATGTCAATTTATCTCTAATAGCTACAAAAAGAAGTGCACAGCTACATATTTATTGAACCTTAATTTCAATTGAATTAAAATGAGACTATCTAAATATTCTAATCGCTTTACACACCCACACCTTGTTTTCTTGATTTTCTATTAAAAAGAATCATGCATTAGTTCAATATTCTCGAATATGATTTATATAAATTTGCTTTTTTATTGACCAAGGAGAAGAGTTAGTCCAAATATTGAAATAATAATCATAGCTTGTTGAACAAGATAATTGCTACTACTATAGCGAGTCATAGTTGTTGTAGAACGGCAGCTAGTAGAAGTAGTATTAGTTGCGTCGCTTGCTTTCACATAAAAATCGATGTCATGTTTTGATATGAAGTCAGAACCTTTAAGTTAAGCACGAACACTCAAATAATATTCACCTGTAATTGCTGTCCATTTAAATAGACCTGTATTATTGTCAAATGTGGAGCTTGCCGGTCGATATAATACAACCAATTCTACCACGTGTGAGGAATATTCACTCGATGACAATAAATTTAAATTTACTTGTTCACCATGTCTTAGATTCATTCGTATAGGAAGCGAAGAATTAAATGAAGGTGGATTTGTTTGTAAGCATTGGAAATTCGACAAAAAACTTTACCTTCAAATCATCCAAAATTGGCTGTTTCCTATGGCAACATAGGTTTGATATATGAAAACATGTCAGAGTATTCTACAGCACTTTTATTCTACGAAAAATCACTAGAAATCCATAAAAAATCGCTTCCATCGAACCATCCTTCGCTCATTTTTTTTCCTATAACAACATCGCTAGAATGTCTGAAAACATGGCAGAGCATTCGTAAGCTCTCTCATTCTATGAACAAGCAATCAAAATCTGTGAGGAAACCACTTCCTCCAAATCATCCCTCATTGTCTGCTTGCTACAGTAACATAGCCTCGTTATATGAACACATGGGTGACTACGGCAAAGCACTTTCGTTCTATCAGAAAGCACTTGAAATTTAAAAAAAAACTTTTTCTCTAGACCATCCTGATTTGGCCGGTACGTACACTAAAATCGCTGGATCATATAGCGACATGGGAAAGAATTCTCAAGCACTTTTATTTTATGATAAAGAACTTAAAATCTATCAAAACACTCTTTCTCCAAATCATCCTTTGTTGGCTACACTCTACAATAACATTGGTAGAACGTATGAAGACGTGGGAAATAACTGGAAAGCACTTCAAATCAGACAAAATGCACTTCCTTCACATCATCTTGATTTTGCGCAATCCTACAACAACATCGCCAGTGTGCATTACAATATAGGCAATTACTCAAAAGCGCTCTCATTTCTTGAATGCGCTCTAGATATCAGTCAACGTTTATTATCTGCAAATCATTCTCATCTTCAACAAGTGCGGCAAGGTATTGAAATGATAAAAGAAAAATTGTACATAAAAATAAATGATGAATAAAAAAGAATATTAGTGCCCTCGCTGCACACAAAGAATTACAGTTGTCATCTTGCACGGACACAGACATACTAAAGGAAAAAATCAGGGTGTGGGTTGAGTGTGGTTGTGTGGCTGTGGATGTGGATGTGGGATGATGTGGCTGTGAGTTTGGGTATATTTTTCACCCATACCCACACCCTTAATTAAATTAATAAATATCGAAGTGAAAAGTTGATTGTTTTAAATATTCGAAGAAAACAAAAAGTATTGATTAGAGTTCAGTACTTGATGATCCATCTCTTGTTGAAGAACTTAATGTAAATAAAAGAATAGCTAAAGACTTGAAGAAAAAAATTACTGTCGATGAAGATACAAAAATAAAAATTAGTACAACAAGAGAAGGACATCGAATTGTTGCTATTCAAGCACATATTATTTATTTTCTTCTGTCAGAAATTGCAGTATCTAGCAAGTTTCTTTTTCTAATAAATTAAATTGATTGAAGTTTTTTGTTTATTTTTTAAGCTTATTAATCATATGCATCAAAGATCATTACAACAATATCTTGGTGTTTTTCAAAATTCAATGAACAAAGTATTTCATTTTTATTTTTAAACATTGAACAAAATTACTGTAACGCAAAAATGTATTTAAAAAATCAATGATTATTTAATAATGGAACATGATTTTATGCAACACGTGATTTATATGAAGATAATAGAATCACGTGTACATTAATAATGACATTAAGACTTGACATATGTCGGATGAAAACATGTCATGATGACTTTCAAGTATTCATTAAGAACAGTGCTTCTTTAGATTTAAATACATACCCATCAAAATCATTTCGTGGGTTAAATGATTCAACTTGGCTTAATCTACTTGAATTTAATCAGTTGAAAGCATGCCATGATGTTATGAATCGAGTAGGTATGGTATTTGTGTGGCCGTGCATGGGTGAAGAGAAGACGCACACAAAACTCACAAGCACTCATATCGGGTCTGGTTGGGACCGAGTATAGGAAAAGCTGGATCGTGACACTGCCGTTTCGGGTTCGAGTGCAAAAAAATCGTATTCATGCAAGAAACAACTTTATATGATATTAAAGTTTATTGAACCCTCACCAAAAAGAACATTACATTAAACAAAATACAGGAAATTTCTTAGACGTTAGGAGAAACTCTTTATTGAAAGTTGTGAACAATAGCTACGTCGTATCTGTTAGACTCACACATAACCTACTTCAAAATATCGAAAGCTACATGCAAAGCAAATTAAAAAAAACAACAGGCGCTTCTTATCCAGACTATCATGAACATGTCATATTAGCAAAAGGTTAGCAAAAGCAAGAAAATGAACTTCTGCAAATAAGCTTCTTTAGTTAGCTAGAAGAGAAAGCATTGTGAATCTTCGAATAGCCAGCTTCTTCTACTTTTCATTAAGATTCAAAAACAAATAAATAGAATTTTATATCATTAAAAATTGCTGATATCGATGTTTTATGGGAAGACGACAATGGTAGATCATTCCTTTTCCTCTTGTTTATAAATAACACTTCGATATCGACACTGAATGTACTTTTTCCATTTGTTGTATCGAGTTCCTTGTCAAAAGAGCAAATTCCATTTATACACATTTTTGAATTTCCATCACAGAAACGACTATCTGCTTGTTGACCTAAAATAAAAGAAGTAAAGTAAACAGAGGAGAGATATTTGCAGTCAATCTCATATTTTAGAAAAAAAATTAGACACATACATATTGTTTGTTTCTCCAACTCCGTACCATTAGTTGATAATTCTCTGATGTTAATAATAATATAACTATTGATGTTCTGATCTCTATCAGTGTACACAGACGAATTAAATCGATATACAGTACGATTTCTAAGAATCCAAGGGAGATAACCATGTAAATCAATTCTTTGATGTATCATAGAGAGTTCTGAATCATAGGAAACAAAGTAACAGTTATCATTTAATAACTGTACTGCCACACTTCCATTTGCAACCATCCAATGGATTTCGGATAAATTTTTACTACGGTCATTAATACAATTATCGTTAATCAACAGATTTTTATTTTTTGCTACCGTTCCATTCGGTAAGATTGCACCTTGATATGTCAGTGCCTTACCCAGCTGTTCATCTGTAATATTTGATTGTGATAAATTAGCATTCTGTAAATTAACAGAATTGAAACGTGCATTTTCAAAATTACATTCAACCAATTTTGCATAACTAAAGTCAACTTCCAATAAATCGACTGAACTAAAATTTGAACGTGTACAGTCAGTTTGTGCCAAATCTGATCGATAGAGATTTCGTCTTTGAAACGATGTATTTCGTAGGGAAACACCACGTAGAGCTATACGTGTCTCGTAATAGAAGTTTGATATAACCTGTGTATACGGTGGTCGTAAATCACTAAAGTCAACATTATCTAAATTTACATCTTGTAATGAAATAATTGGAATTCCAGAATTCATATCGCTTCGAATCAGTTTGGCTTCATATAGAAATAGAATTACTTCACGCTTTCGTTTCACATCTAATTGTCGTAGAACACTCATAGTTTTTGCACGTAATAGAGGATCTAATGGTCGAGTTGAAAACATTAATGTAGATATACCATTTAAATATTCTATTAAACGATTGTCTTGTCTTTCTTCCTCAGCTAAATCAGCAGTTTGGTCACGTTCACGTTGTGCAATATCTAAATCTTTTTCACGATTTTCCTTTGCATCTATAGTATTTTGAATAGTTAACATCATAGTTGCAACGCCTAACATCAAAGGAACTAAAAGTACACCGGTAACTTTCAGTATATCTTTAAATTGCATATTCCAAAATGAGGATTTAGTCAAGACTGATTCGGTGTTTGTCGAACTATCAACTAAAGTTAGAGGTAATAAAAATGACATGCTTCCGGTTGTCTGAGACATAGACCTCTGACGAGTCGACATGATCTAAAAAAGAGAATAAACGCTGTATTACTATAGAGAATGTGTTTGACCCTATACAAGAATAGACATGTGAGATCACAGTCGTCTAATGAAAAAAGAATTGTATCATTAAAATTCAAGAAATAAGTAAGCTTTACAACTTTTAGTTAGTTCTCTAAGCCCTCTACTTTGAAATTATATCAACAAAAAACATGCTATTGTAAGATAGAACATAAAACTTATATCCAAAGAAAAAGTTTTAATTTCAAAACTTAAAATCTATCCTTGAATTGATGTTATGCCTAACATTCACAAGCAAACAATTCTTGATATTCTCCATGTCTTGTTGGTATACAATCATGACAAATCATTGTTACAAGTGTATAGGCTGGTGGTGTAGAAGAATAATTCGTCCATCTTGTTGGTAAAAGAGAACAGCCAGCTTCTATCCATGGACCAACAGCTTCTAGGTCTGAAAAGAGAGAGAGAGAGAGAGAGAGAGAGAGGAATAAAATGTGCTTTAAAATTCCAAAGAATATAAATATCACAGCATTTACTTTCTCCGTTAATGACATCACGTAGACGTTTTGTGCGAAAAAATCTATTTGTTGAATCTCTTTCATATCTCAACGGTTCTGTTATAACGATTGTATTCCACGACGTAAGCATTTTACCAGTGTTACATTTCACTTTTGATTCATTCAATGGAAGATCAACTGGACATTGTGAAACATCATTTAGTGTGATTTTAATACCGATTTCCCAGGAAGCTGATAGAGGACCACGTGGACCATGACCAATAACAGTTTGAGCATACTTTGGTGCTGAAGTTGAAAGAGAAGATTGACGTTTTTCACAGATGAATGGATGATGATCAGCAAGTACTTGTATGGTCATCAATATGCGTGTCAAAAATATAGGTGTTGATTTCAGTTGCATTTTTTTTACGATGTCTTTATTACTTCAACTAGATGCCTTTTTTTTTATAGTAGTTTGAGTAGAATGTGAAATATTTCATGGATAATTTATTACAGACTTCCGTTTTATTGCCGTTGAATAAGTTGTAAACCTTGAATCAACAAAAGCGTATGTCTTCTATATTTCCAAATTGTAAATACATAGATTACTCGTAAATTAGTCAGATACATACTAGTAGAAAGTAAAAAATGTGATTTATGATATATTCTCCTTGTCACATAACTTATCCATGTTGAAAGCTATGTTTTTGAGGGATTTATTGCCTATGATATATTATTGAGATCAATGAGTAATTGCAAGGCACGTTATAGAGACATTAAACGCACCACTTTTCACCTCTGATCATACTGAAGAAGTAAATTCACCGCAGTCAACTTATCCATTACCGCATTTGGAGCAAACTAGTGGCAAGATCTTAAGGGCCCCATCCCCTCAAAAATCGATCTCAGCCCAGGAACGTCCAAATGGCCCGAAAATTGAAGAAAATGTTTGGGTTGAACAGGGAAAGCTACGATAAAATTTTCAGCATGAAATCATGAGTTTTAAGGGAGATATTGACCAAAGAAGGGTGAAAAATTGGTGATTTAGCATCCCAAATTTCTCAGTCCAGATCCGTCCAATATATTTAAACCATTTTGCTTTTGAAAGAGTATGTCAAGATGCAGGACATGACAAGGCCCGATTTTTTAAATACCCGCTTTTGAAGCACAAAAAAGGGATCAAAAGATCAATGACTGAAAAAGTCTCTAAAAATTGCTGCCAATTTATATAAATATCTATATATAAAATTTTAAAAAAGCCTAATAAAAAAACGGGCCTCGTTATGCCGTGCATCTTTACACGCCCTTTCAAACAAAAAAGAAAATTTAAATATATTTCACAGATCTTGTCAGAGACGTTTTGAATGTGCGTTTGAGAAAGTGAAAACTGAGAATAAAAGAAAAAGACTTTTTGGTTCTTCAAAAAAAAAACTGGTGTTTCGAGTATGAAGTCTCGGAAAACTAGAAAAATTTTTGACGAAAATGAGGTATCGAGCAAAAATTTTTATCATTTATGAAAGAGCAAATGACGGGCTATCTTCCCATGCATTTATCTCAATTTTGACGACTCTGATGAAAACTGACTTTTTTTGAGAGGTAGGGGGCCTTAAGGTGTAAGTGTGTGTGTTTGAATGATCGAATGTTGAACCATACACACCCACACTCACCATAGTTATTTTAAATTTTAATTACTGATCATCGATATAACGAAAATTGCGAAAGATGCAACAACATTCGAGTTAATCATGGTTGTTGGCGAAACTCGATGTTAATATCTCGAAAAAAAACAATTCTCAGTTCAAAAATCTTGATTTTGTGATCGAATTAACAAAAACACGGAGCTTTGTATCGAAATTTCGAAAAAGGATTCATCATATAGAAACATGGAATTTCTTAACAACGTTTGAATGAAAATCGAACTATTGTGCTTCGCACCGTATTATTTATTTTGAATACTTGAGTGTATGCGGTGTTGGAGTGAGTGAGCTGTGAGTGTGTATGCTTTATTTATTAGACATTCACATCGACATCTAAATTTATGATATCTCTAGCATGAATCGAGTTGATCGCTTCAATATTTTTTATTGACGAATATAAATAAAATTCAAAAACATATATACTTTCTCAGAATCAGTGCCAATTGTGGGTGTGAGCGTGAATATGTAGGTGCGCGTATGTGTATTTCTTCACTTCATACCCACATTCTACATGTGTTAATGTTATTTTAACTCCATTGACAGTTTTCATTAATTTGCAAATGTCGTATTCGCTCTACTTGTAGTTAGTTGTTAGATATCGTAGTGTTGAGTAGGGCGTCTGTTAACGGTGACTCACATTCTGCCTACCCTCGATTCTCTATCTCTTTATCTCTCCCTTCTTCTTTCTACTGTATTATTGTTGTTTCTCCTTCTTTCTCTCTTGTTCTTCTTCTCCTCTCTATGGATGTATATATACCTAGTGATTTTAAGGACATTTTGAAGAGATTTAACATATGAAATAAATAAACCAAGTTAAGCTCGTCGAAGCGAGCTAACATTTTGGTGCCGTGACCGGTCTTCTTCTAATTACTCCATCGAAGAAGAACCAATTCGTCACATTTAATTCTGTACATCAGTACATTCAACAACAAGACAAACACTATTTGAAATTATGTACGGACGACAAGTTACTCTTCCATTTAATCGACAAAATGAAATTACTTCGCTCGCACAAGATCCAGAGCACAGTAAAACAATTAGAACATATTTTGGAAACTTGGTAAATGAAGCTCGGAACAATATCACGAAAAGTCAACAACAATATAAGGATCACTACGACTTGTACAGACAAGATCCAGTATTAAAAGTCAATTCTTTAACGTTGGTGAAAACAAGAAACATTCGAAACACATTTGATATAAGATATGAAGGTCTATTTAAAATCATTAAACGATCAGGAAGCAAAACATTCACTGTCCAACATGTTAAAAAATTAATATTAACAACACAAGTGACAATGGATGTTATCGTTCAATTGATGGAACGATGGAATTCAATTCAATAAACATATCCCGTAAGGGAAAGATGTGTATTAGATAGTATAATTAGTAAAGTAAAAAATTATCATTTATGATTAAGTGAAAATGATTCAGTTTGATTCAGCAGTCCATGCCGGGGAGACAGAATTTCACCTTCTCACTGACAAGGAGGGGCTGTCGAACTCGAACATATTATTTTTTATTTTTTTTTTCATATCACTTAATACGAAATGACTCATCATCCAAACACAGTGCACTATAATCGAGGCACTTGTACAACACCGGCCAGACTGTGCAGTGCAATGAATGACGCACATGTTCCAGATCAATAACTTTACTAACATCAAAACAAGAACGTGATACATACACATCTACCACATCAATATTTGCCAACATCATTCAAATCCACTACAACAACGGAAAAACATAAAAGAAAGAACAACATCAAAATAAATAATTCATTATCAAAAATTTTACTGATTCAAAAATTTGTTTACAATTATCTTAATGCTTACTAATTTAAATTTTAAATTGATGATAAATTTAAATTTTCAACTGCTATACATGAACTAATGTTACATATATTAAATACAGTAATGATTATCTTCAACTTATATTTATATATAAATTATCAAAATATATTTGACCTGTATTAATCTATGATATGATGTCGACATGATTAAAAATGATAATGATGGAGCATCACATGAATGTGTATAAAATCAATATTAAATTTTACGATTTTTATCATTTATTATTTGAAAATTATTATGGATTAAAATTATATCAACTTGATTATCTTATTGATGCCATACGTCATAAAGCTCAACGAATTGATGAACATAGTCTTAATGTGTGTGGACACACATCTATCATAAGAGGGGAGGAATGTTAACGGTGACTCACATTCTGCCTACCCTCGATTCTCTATCTCTTTATCTCTCCCTTCTTCTTTCTACTGTATTATTGTTGTTTCTCCTTCTTTCTCTCTTGTTCTTCTTCTCCTCTCTATGGATGTATATATACCTAGTGATTTTAAGGACATTTTGAAGAGATTTAACATATGAAATAAATAAACAAAGTTAAGCTCGTCGAAGCGAGCTAACAGCGTCATAATGGGTCTAAGTCTGAGTGTTCTCTTCATTGACACCCACATCCACATAAAAAGATTGCGTCGTGGTATGAAGATTTATTCTTGCTTCTTCGAAGGTCTTCATTTCTGATGTTGTAAGATATACATGTGATCTTAACGAAATGTTGCAATTGAATTAATAAAGCCAGTTAATATGAAATTCAAAAGAAAGCATATACAAAATTTAAATAAAAAAGCTTATAAACCACATAACGTCACACGTTAGCGAGAATAATTTTCATAAATTCTACTGAAACTTAATGGTTAATGCTAGCTTTTGAAGGTAGTAAGATATCATACAGTAAATCAATTCTTGACTTGTTAAAATTACAACCATATATTTAGCCAATAAACGCCTTTAGAACCACTGGTTGGGTAATACAATGGGTTGTCACTCTGTTGAGCCAGTTTATTCAATTCGTTGTTATAACGTTCAAGTAAATGTCGATAGTTCGGCAGCCAGACTTCAATTGTCAAATGACATAACTTTCTATAGTAACTTGGCAAATCAAGTATAAATTCAGTTAAAGACGTGAAACAATCATCCAGAACTTCTGAATTAGCACAAATTTTGAGCTCTTTCAAATGTGGAAGAATTTCTGAAAGTTTCGAAAAGAATGATCGATGATAGTTACTAATACTATCTATCGACAGTTGTAGATATGTAATTTGTTTCGCTTGTTTCACTGGAATTATTTCATATAACTGTTTGAGTAGCTTCTCTACATCTGTAGTACTTATTTCCAAAAAGGCTAAATTTGGCGAGATAGCTATGGCTTTTCGAAGGGATCGAAGAATATTTGGTTCGATTGAATCTTGAAATCGAATACTATGCAACTTTAGAAGTTGCAGGTTGTCGTCATTTAACTCGAATGTTATTGAATGTACTTGAGAGGAATGTTCAGCTTTAGAAAGAGAAAGTGTATGACAGTAAAATAATTGTTGCAGAGTGAGATGATTGCATTCGACTATCTCTTGTTCTGATATAGTATCAAAGTTTTGAGGTTTGGGAAGAGTAAAGATGGAATAGCTGGAGTCTGGCAATTGTTCAATATTTGGAAATAGTGAAGGACAATCAGGTTTGTGATTGGTGCGTATGTAATATTGAAATTTTTCCAGATGAATGAAGTTCAGAACTAAACTTTGAAATTTTTCAATGTAAGAAAAATCTTCGTCGCCATCAATAGCAATCAAAGTCAATGATCGAAGCTGACTTTTGAATAGATCAAGAAAATTCTTTAGCCTTTTAAAACTTGATAAATGTATTAATCTT